AGTTTGTAACAAGCGTGAGAATGTTGTATTCGATGATGTTTGTATAGTGGCAGGAAAAAATAATCGAGGCCATGTTATTTCTGAAACTTCCCCTACTTTTAGCAATTGACTTGAAAAGTGAAAATGTGTTATATTCAACATTATCCAAGGTCCAACCTTGTGCACCCCAAACCAAACCAAATCACGAAATTCTATCATTATTTTGTTGTCTTGTTACCAACCTTCGTAACCAATCAGGCACTGATAACAAAATAATAGGCCTCATGAAATATTTGTCACCTTCATGATACATGTAGATATTATATTACACAATTGGGGAAATTTCGATTGTTGTCTTTTAATTTAGAATCGACATTCCCTGTTGAATGATTTAGGAAATGAAATAACAAAACATGATGTATCTACTTAACATACTTGATTAAATTTGTGTTTTCTTTTAATTTTCATGTTAGTTTCATATTTCGTCATTGCTTCGTTTTGTTTATAACATTTTTATATCAATAAACACATCATTAAAAAAAAAGAAAAATCCCAAGATAATGATAATCCTAAAGAAAATAATAATATATGAAATGTTTGTACGAAAAAGATTGGGAGTAACTTACAAAAGAAATCATTGCGCTGCCAATTGTTATCGTGATCAAATCTAAAGATCATAACGTTTATGGGTTTTTTTTTTATTGGACTTTTTATTACACAATTGGGGAAATTGCGATTGCCGTCTTTTAATTTAGAATCGACATTCCCTGTTGAATAATTTAGGAAATGAATTAACAAAACATGATGTATCTGCTTAACATACTTGATTACATTTGAGTTTTCTTTTAATTTTCATGTTAGTTTCATATTTCGTCCTTGCTTTGTTTTGTTTAACATTTTTTATATCAATAAACACATTATTTTTTTAAAATAATGATCTCGGAAGATAATGATAATCCTGAAGAAAATAAAATTATATGAAATATTTGTACGAAAAAGATTGGGAATAACTCACAAAAGAAATCATTTCGCTGCCAATTGTTATCGTGATCATTAAATCTCCTAAAGATCATAACATTTATGTTTTTTATTGGACTTTCCCCAAACTTCCAATGATGGGTTTCTTTCATTTTTTTGTCTGTTTTCATCGCAATCAAACTTCATAGTTATTGGCGGCCTAAAAGCTTGGACTCTCCCCTGCTTATATTTTGACCTAGCTCCTTGTATACAGTTGTAATATTTTATGCATCATGTATGACTAACTAAGAAAAATAAATCTTTGTAATGTGTGTGCTTCCAAGAATAACTACATCGAATCAATTGCACCTTGTTTCCATGGTGCGTCATTTCCTTCATACCCCCAAATAACATTATCCATTATCGGTAAACTTTCTAGGTCTAATATTTTTTCCAATGGATGTAGATGGAACTATGACATCCGGTAATATCCGTGGTTAATGAATTCCCGAACCAAAAATGCATAGTTCCAATACTAGAAGTATAACTGTGTCCCATTATCCAAACCCTAGCCTGCCTAAACATAATATTAAACTCGACCGTAAAACAGATATATTCTAGCAAAAAGGCCACTCTAAATATTGAAGGTAACCCGATATTTACTCTGGCGCGTAAGCCATTTGCTTAGGGCTTTATTTCCGTCAAAGATGATAGGATGAGGTAAGTGTAGGTATAAGGGTTAGGGTTAGGGTTAGCGTAAGGGTTTAAGGTGGGTTAGGATAAGGCTACAGTTTGGGTTAGGGTTAGGGTAAAGGGTAAGGTTAAGGGTAAAGGATTATGGTCAGGAGTTGGAGATAGGGTAACAAGTATGGGCAAGGATAAGGGTTACGGTTATGAGTATGGAGAAGGGTTAGGGCTGGGGTTAGGGTTAGAATTATTCTTGGGTTTTGAATTTGGTTAGGATTTGATCTAGGATGATTGTGAGAATTATTGTATTTGTTATCGGAGCAATTATCGCTGGATCATGTATCCCAGACGTAAAGTATGTCCAATCCAAAAAGGGAGATAATGAGCATTCTCTGGTACAAATGGCATTTGAAAGATATTGAAGTTCACACTCAGATATAATTTAGGCCACTATCTATTCATTATTTCGTCTTGTTTTTCTTCGTCATGGTAACTAAGTAAACTTTTAATTGTCAATGTTGACAAAAATGACACATGTCAATTGCGTGACTTTGTTCGTGGTTTATGTCGCAATTCGGGAAAGTTTCAGCTCACGTGTTTTTAATACTTCATTTTTACTTCCTTGTTTGAAAATTTGATCGTTTCTTCCAACCCTTTTCCATAAAGTCCTCAGTACATAATTGTTTGTTGGTAGGAACAGTTTACAGAGTGATTTTTCTCTTCGATTTCATTCATTGCTTGAAAACTATTTTTTACAAAAACAGTATGGATCCTAAACTTCTTTCTCGATTAACGCAAGGAAGGTAAATACTAATCTTATATTCTTCTAAATATCGAATTGGGGAAACTGATTGTTTCACTTTTACATTTCGTGTTATCTGATAACTTTGTCTTCCTTTATTGTTATCATTACATTTGCAATTATAACTGTAAGTTTTACATACTGTATCTAATTGTCCGTCTGGTTTTGGAGCTGTTTCACGCGATATTGCCTGGATTTTTTGTTTTGTTAATATCATTGAACCTTTTGAATAATATTCCCCGATCGTAAAACGCTTCATTGACTTACTTGTTTATTCAGATTATTGACTCTCCAGAAAATATGATTGTTAAAATGTTGGTTAAACCAGTACAAGGTTCACCTCAGACTTATGGAAGTTCTGGTTCAGTGGCTTGTTGGCAGAGGTTGTTTAAAGTAGTGTAGTTTTTGTTTCTCTTATATCTGTATATCTGTATGTATTCCCCTATCATTCTGTCATTGTTATATCTTCATGTAAATCATTATGTCACTTTTAATAATGTGTTCCCCTCTTATTCTTGTTCATTGTTTATATCTACATGTAAATATGTTATATGGACCCCGGCTTTTGCACCTGAGTTTGGAATAAAGGCTTGAATTGAATTGAATTGTAAATAATACAGATACCTACGAACTTCTTATCGTTATTGTTGCTGTTGTTCTTCTCTTCTTATTCATCTTATTCTTTTTCTTTTTCTTCTCTTCCTCCTCCTCCTCTTCCTTGTTATTGTTGTTCGTCTTCTTCTCGTTCTTCTTCTGTTGAGGTAGGTCTACAAGGCCACCATGTACAAGTACAGGAGTAAAAATCCATTCTTTCAGGAATCGTATTAAGGATCAATTCATTACGGAGTGATAATTCATGCTCAGTGTAGTGGAAACCACGCTAAAGATAATAAATCCACTCTTAAAGGAGTAATTCAAACCACTACTTTTGAGTCATGGTGGAATTCAATATAATAAGAAACTTCGATTTAACTCCACAACGAAGGGACCTGAATATGCCTCTTAAAAGAGCGGATTTCAACTTATCTGCAATAAGAGAGTACGTTCTAAGAATACCAATCATCTATTTTATGATTCATTTTGGCATTTTTCTTTGTCCTTACAGTAACTCAGCAACTAACAGTACATGTCTGTCTAGTTGCCCAGGTAGCATTATGTCTGAACCAACCGAGTACATCATGAAGAAAGCAGAGCTGTTGGGCTTCCAGGCTAACTCGCGAAACAGTTCAGCTTTCTCTCTAGAGTTTATGCAGGTATGCATTCGAAACATTTTTTGAACAATCTCTCCTAAATCATTAGCTGGCTACCCAACATTTTCCTGCGACAAATGTTCAAGGCTTCCTTTCATCATAGGTACAGGGTTAAGGTTAGGGTTTCGGTTGCAATTGGATATTAGGTCAGGTTTAAGGGTTAGGGTAAGGGTTAGGATAAGGAAAAGAGTTGGGGCCAGGTTTGAAGAACTTACTCGGAAAAACAATATTGTCGCAGGAGCAAGTGTCGTACAATAATATTGTGTATGTTTTATGTATTTTGTTTTCTAATGTATGTTTTGCTTTCATGTATGTGTATGTAGGTCAGACACCCTACTTCACAGACAAGAATATAACAAAATAAATAAATAAATAAATAGAATTAAATAAAATGCCTTAGTCACTGTGAGGGGCAGGAGTCAATGGGGTGGAGGGGGTGGGGTTGTCTCGCTTGAAACTCTCTTTTCACAATCAATTTCTTAATCCTTTCCTATAATATCTTTAACCCCATACTAAAGTATCCCTACATATCCCCATACTATTTCTCGATGGATAATGTAGGAAGTCTCCTGTTTTACAAATTGCAAAATGAATTCAAATATTGATTTCATATGGTTGTTATTGAAGCTTCCAAACCAATTACGTTTGTCTCTAAATATATACTTGTTTATAATCTTGTGTCTATAAACAAAATCGTTTTGTTTCGTAATTGTTTTAAAGACTATATGAAATTAGCACCCGGGCAGCTGTCTGTCACTGTGAATGTACATGAGCTTCAACAAACACAAACTGACAAAGGTCTCTACGTGAGCTAGGCCTATGTTGACTTTATTCTGTAGAATTTCAGAAATGGCTTATCACATCTACTCTTGCCACAGCTACCTCCGCGAATGTTACCAGGGGTCTCTTATTGTAAAAAGAACCAAAATCAGAATATATTGATAAAGTCAATAGTATTCGTATTCATGTAGCACGTACCATTTGGGTATAGCTATGCCCTAGCGAGGAGAGGAAATACATTTTTAGAAGGTATACTTATTGGGATCTCTTCTTTTTTAGTTGACTCTGATTCCAATCATGGAATAGAATAGATAGAATCCAATCAACAGTAATAGTTCATGAAGTACTTTGGTGGGCAGATTCCACTTAGATTTCGAGCGCCAATTTTCACTATTTTGAGGCTTAGACACTCCAAAAGAACTTGATCCCTATCCATATGAATCCCCCAAATTGTGGATCTCCAGACCTGTACATTTTGATAATAATTGTATGAAATGGTCACCTCAAACTCGACATTTCCTTGATTATTTTTCGTTTAACAGAGCACAAAGGAGCGTTTTACTTGGGAGTTGGACAATTACGGGGATCTCAAGTGTTATAAGGATGCCGAAGAGCGTATATGTTCAACTAACACAGTGGTGTCTGTCGAGAAACGTCCAGGAACCAATATCCTTATCATAGGGTGTGGCCCGGGAGGCCGCATCTTAACTTTCATTGATTTCGACACCGAGTGAGTCTTCAAATAATTTGAGAAAAAGTTGTATCTGATTAAACAAATAACTCACGAAACAGTCCCATTGAAAGGAATGGAAAAAAAAAACAAATGTAAGGAAATCGCAAAATATTGTGGCACAAAAAATCCCTTTGAGGATTCCCCTTTAAAAATGTTGAAAGTGTTAAACACTGTATATTAAACGTCTGTAACATGTCAGTCTGATTTATTTATTCAATCGTCACACAATTAAATGTTACAAAGAAGTTTTTGATAATTATTATATATCTATGATGATACCATTGACTTTAAAACCTTCGGAATGCCGTGTCTTTGTCGGGTTCAGAGAGGAGAAGTATAGAACAGTATATCTTTTCAAAATGAATAAATCTTTGTTCATTATTTTGGTTCAAAAGTATAAATTTAAATTTCACGTCTGTTTGATACTATTTTCATTTGCAAAACAATCAAGATGAAAATCACTACCCGCTTTACACGTTATCAAATATTTGTTAATATGCAGTGCCTTGGTTTGTTGCGTTTTGTTCCATTTTGCTTTGCCTTGTTTTATTTTGTTCTGTTTTCTTTAGTATTGTATTGTTTTGTTTTGTTCCGTTTTTTAAAGCCAATATCTGTTTTTTTTTGTAATGCCTTTATTTAGGAAACAAGCAGACGAATGGCAAGAGGCACTGTGTAAGTTTGTTGGTCAGGAGTACAATCGCCCTCTTGGATTTAGGAGAGTACGTACAGAAGTCAAATCAACAAGAGATAAAAAGAAACTTTGCAAAACGACTTCTGCACTTCCAGACATACTGCAAAAAGTAAGGAAAATTAAATATAAAGAATAATAATATCTTACAGTTTTCTTTTCTGTAATTACAGGAAATTGAAGATTTGTTTGGACATTGTGTGTAATCTTATCTCACCTAGCCTCATAATTTCTTTGAATGAGAGCACTAATATCAAAATGATAACAGGGAGAAAAAAAAACGATGCATGAAAATGTTTAGTAATATCGGGAATGATTTGAGTGAATCTAGAAAAAATTATAAATTAATTTCATGATATCTTGAATTTTCATTAAGCTAAATTCACCGCAAAATCATTAGTAAATACGAAATACGATAAAACTATACGACTCTCCGGTGAGTAATAAAGAGAATTTTTGTTTGTTTGTTAGAAACCCGAAGCAGCCACAACTACACCGATGTCGGTTGAGAGAACTATGGCGGAACCGGTAACTTTACAACAAAATAAAGAAAGCGACGAATCGTGGTTGGTTCGCTCTGCGTCGTCGTCGTCGTCTTCGTCGAACTCGTCGGATATTTCTCAACCCGGCAGCCTGAATTCATCAATTGATAGCAGGTCTGAGCCGAATCTCCCAATAAACCCTTATTCCCTCTCTCCTCTGCTCCCATCTCTCTCTCTCTCTCTCTCTCTATCTCTCTTTCTAGCTCTCTCTCTATGGTATAGTCATATAGCATTATGTAAAACAAACGGGAGAGTTAGCTATAAATGCGTCATAATCCATAGATCTAATTGCCAATATGAAATTTTCATAGATTTATTCATCTCATATCTAAAACTTTCGTTTTTTTCCAGGGCCTTTCTGACCAATTTTTATTTAAAACTTCAGCCATCATGTTTCTCATATTTTTATTTCTTTAAAATTAAATTTGGACTACAAAGATTCTATATTCCTTAACAATATTTTAGGGTAAATTGATGAGAAGTTTAGATGTATTTTGTGCTTATTTTGACAGGTATTCCCAGTCGATGGAGAGTGATACGTCAGAAAGAAGATACGCCATAGAGGAACTCATGGGCACTGTCCTTGTAGACTACAATGGGCAAGTTTGGTTAGTCTTTGTTTCTATTTCTATCAATATACCATTTTATAATTTACAATCGGGTTTTTCGAGATGTTTTTCCTTCTTTAACTTAATACTGATTTTTTAACATCTACTATTTTTACTGCATTTGTATATGACACAATGTGAACCAAGTATTGTTAGTCTTCGGACTTTTTAGTTGGTATATTTTTGATAAAACCGAAATGGAATTGAATTGAATTGAATTCCAAGCCAATCTATTTAATCAAAGCAAATTCAACTCAACCCAAATCAAATCGAATCAAATCACATCAGATCAAATATAGTCAAGACAAATCAAAATCATATTAAATTAAATCAGGATTCTTAAAAAGGTGTGAGAAGGGGGGGGGGGCAAAACTAGAATATTAATTAAAAGCAGAAAGATTGCTCGTTAGCCTTCTTTTTCCTCCGCCCCCTTGGGGGGGGGGGGGTTCCTAACGTTCCTAAGAGTCGCTTTCCTCTTTGTCCATATGTCCACCACCGCACACTGCATTGTGAAATCGGGATATGGATGTTTTTTGTAATCGCTGTGATATCATTGAGTAGTATGTATAATATAAACGTTAGGAATCACTTTGAAAATATGCGAATGACTTGTAACGTGTTTTGAATAAAACACAAACATCTACGACTACCCCTCTTGAGTGTGTTGTCATTACTATAGCCGCTCTTTGTGAATGTGATTTGAGAAAAGAGAAAGATTATTATTATCATTCTTCCAAATAGCGTGAAATCATCAAAGCCCGGGTCTGGAATACATGTCGGAGATCGGATCCTAGCCATCGACGCTAAAAATAAACTGGATGCCAGAGCAATGGCCGAATATATCCGAGGAGCCGACTGCGAAAAGGTTTGTAAGCTCGAATGGTTATAAACCTAGTACACGAAGTCATGAACGGAAATGCAAAAGCAAAATGATACCGATTACAAATAACCAAGTATTCGAAAGTAGCCCTAATATCAGTTTACAAATACAGGAAGTCATAAATCAAAAGGAAGTGATACTTAATCATTGACGATTGAAAACCAGTATAAGTGTAACACATACTCCCGTCTTTGATTCGTTACAAACCCCAATAATTATATCCTTAAAGAAGTTAGAAATAATTCTATGGAGATCGTTTATATCAACATTCAATGTCGCAATAATGAGTGTCTATTGACTTAATTAAACCCAGCGTTGAACATCAATAGAGCGAATTTCGTTTCATTCCCGACCCCTCCGCCCCCCCCCAATAAAAAATAAACACATTTATCTCTGAACTCCAATGTGTGCCCCCTTCGCGTAGGCCTATAGTTTTCATCGTTTCTATAATGTTTTCACATACATAGTTTTTTTTTTAACATTCCTTTTTCTTGATGTTCTTGTTAACAAATACAGAGTGACTTTTCTCATCTTTGATTCATCTTTAGGTTTCCTTGCGTATATCTCACGGAGTAAGATGTGCAATCTCAACACAAGAACGGGGTTTCCAGATGAATTTGAGGGGCGGTGATGTAAGAAACTTATTCAGTTTTATAGGAATTTATGTCTTTGTGTGTGGGCCGGGGGTGTATGTGCGTGAGCATGCGCGGGTGGGGTTCGTGTTTGTGTGTGATGGTGTGCGTGGGGTTGGATGCGTGTGCGGTTGCGTGCCCATGTTAAAGTCTCACCTCCCTGGTCATACCAAGAAGTTGGTCATACTCGTACGCTTGCGTAAGGAATATTTTATATCAAGTGGCAACAATATTATATTCCGTTTTTCAGAATATTTCAGAAAGGGCAAATGTATTTTTATCGCGTTTATAAACTTAAATAGTTTTACTACTTTAAACATTTAAAATTGCATGGAAGTTAAATGTGCTGCTCTGTAACATCGCATTTGTTTATGATCATGGATGAGTCCACTTTCATTTTCCAATTTTAAGTATCTGGATTCTTCATCTGATTCGAAAATGTTTTAGTTCAGAATAATTATCTGGATTTTAATGTAGGAAAATATCCTTATTTATTAAAAATTACCCTTTTAGCTTACTTGAAGCAACTATATATTAACTTAACTAGTATTTTTCTTATTCAAACAGTTGGTCCAATGCGATGTACATGATGTTGTAAGGACTGTCTGTCACTTGGCTTGCACAACCAACGGAGGTCAAAGTTCAACTTTGTCTGTAACAGACCCTGCTAACTTTCCGGAAGAAACGGACGTCCGAAAAGTAGTGGTAATAAACTCGATTTCAACCAACTAATCTATATCTACCTGCTACAGAAAAAAAGAAGAAAGAAGAACAAATAATTCCATTCTACTACTTCTACTACTTCTAACACTACTACTTATCATAATAATGATCACTAGTAAAGCCAGAAGTAGCAATAAAATATGGGACTAACGGCAATTCCGAAGGAATTCATAATAAAAAAAAATTGCATGTAACAAGAACATCAGGTAAACATGGAAGCGAGAAAAGCAGAGCATTATTGTGGTCACCATCCCATTTTGCATCAGATTTTAAGTTCCATTCGATGAATAAAAGACCGCAAGGCATTATTGTTTTAGTTTTTACATTGTGCAGGTAAACTAGCATATCTTTACAAATTGTACATCTATCAAAGTGTTGTCGATAAAGTGAACGGCAACTCATTTCTGGCTGATCCCGATCTGATGATGATAATATTTTTTTTTTTACACATCTCTGTATTTTTTTTGATTCTTCAACAAATATTATCCTAACAATTTTATGATATCAGAATGAAATAACTAAAAAGTAATTATCTTTATATTACGTAAACGTTTTAGTTATATTCTTATTACTTGTCTTTCTGGTAAAGGTTGAAGACGAAGTCCAGGAAATCCTTCAGGAAACCCCTACGGTGATTCACCTCCAACCAGAATGTCTCCGTCGAGCGTTGGATCAACTCAAGGGGATATGCATCGGCCAAGGACTTGGGTCATCGGGCGAAGTGGTGACCGGCAGTGATCAGTCGAGTCCAGGCAGTGGCAACAGAGGCGGGCCTATCATCACTCCGAAGACCCCCGTTGATTCGCAGATCATTCCTGCTCGAAACAAATCTTCAAGTTCGCCTGATGTGGAAGGTCCCACTGCTGCTGCCCCAGAGGATTCTTCTTCAAGTAGTAGTACCGACAGCACGAAAGTGATATTGCGTAATCATGGTAACAAATCGAGATCCCCAAAGAGACCTTTGGGGAAGGTCTTCACCGATGTAGAGTGATGATATCTCTGAAGAAATAGAACAAAAAACAATAAGTGCTCGCAAACAATGCTTCCTGTTCATCCAAGCGTCTAGGCTGAGAGAGTTACCGTGTTTAAATGAATCAATAAAATGAAATGAAATTGGAAAATGATAGTGGACTCTACCAGCGATGTTACAAAGCAGCACATTCAGTTAAGACGGATTTTCTGAAAAACCAACCGTTTAGGCTGAGAGAATTACCGTGTTTGAATAAATAAATGAAATGAAATGAAATGAAATGAAATATCATTTTGATATTTCTCACAACACATTAAAATAGATAATGGTTTACTGCATTCATCATAAACATTAATGTCATGCTTTATTCGATAAGGCTCTTATAGTAAGTAATTCTATATCCTTGCTTAATTGATCAATTTGCAATGCACTGTATGCACCAAGCATAAATTCCTCACAATCGGGATACAAGGAGGGGTAGGCTACTCTCTAAAATGTATGCGTCACATAAAATTGAAAACCAAAGGACAAACAACCAATTTTAAGCTTTAAATGGCTTCTTATTTACACGCTTTCATGTAATTATACACTTGAACTAATTTGTACAATAACATTATTTTGAGTTCTTGATGATTTTACATTGAGAAGTAAATAAATATTTAGTCATTATGCAGGATAATTTGTTTATCAACTGGGAGGGGTGTGTAAAACCCCCAACTCTCGACCTCAATCTTGCTACATGTATTACATTTAAGAAGGTATCGGTGGGTGCGGGAGGGGAGGGGGGGTTGATACCAAAACCCCTCTCCTATTATTTCTGTCGACAAGTTTGGATATTGTTTTTGGATTCGTGTTGGTAAAATCCAAAGGTAGTGTTTTTGTTATTGTTCTTGTTTTATGTTGTCGTTGTTTTATGTTGTTCTTGTTTTAATTTTTTGTTGACGTTGTCGTCGACGTTGTTGTTGTTAGAAATGATTTTGGAACCTCTGTTCGTAAATCTGAAAAATAAAATCAATATGTCGATCCTGCATTTTATCGATTTGTCGATTCGATTATCATAAACCATATAAATTGTAGCATATACCGTACAAATCCCATATGATTCTCATGTACATGTACATGTAAGGTTGTGGCTCGTTCTTACTCCAAATTGATACTTCCATCTTACATGTCTTAACATACTACATTACTCATTATCACCTAATCGATAGTAACATTTTGTATCATCACGAGGCGTTTCATTAACACTGTCACCATAAATCACTGCCCTCTTTCATAAACTTGTTATCAATAACAAGTTACGATAACTTTTTGATTGGCTGAGAGCGAATTTGTTATAGAAATTTATCATTTGTTATTGATAACAATTTTTTTGAAACGGGGCCTAGGTCCTATTCTTCGACCACCGTCCTTTGGATTTTACTTTTTATTTATTATTGCAATATGATTGCCATATCTGCAGTGACTAGCCTTGAGGACAAAGAGCATACTATATTGCACATTGTGTTATCAATATGATTGTATCGAGGCCTTATGGTCTCATGTAAACCGTCATAATGAGTTACAAGTATTACGTATATACATGTACCAGTTACATGTTGGCTTTCATCAGGGTTTATGTGTAAATATTTGATCTGTAATTTACGTGTGTAAATATTTTATCTGTAATTTAGGTGTGTAAATAATAAATCATATACTTCGCATAGGTTATTGTATGATTTCTAGTTAGTCATCTCATATTACAACGGTCACTCGTTCAGTCAGTATGTAATATTACTTTCAGTACAAAAAAGAAACTTTGATAGGCTGTGGTAGGATGCGATGTAGTATATAATTATACTATTGGAGGTTAAATATCAGACATTGAGTCTTCCCCAACCCCCCCTCTCTCTTTCACTCTCGCTACCTTTCTATTTTTGCCAATTAAATTATTACATGTACATGATATATATAAGTTTATATTCAGCGTGATTATATCACATAATGTAATAAATATTATTTTTTTACTACCTGAATTGACGTTGTCTGTGTTTATATTCTTATAGTTGTTATTTTATCAGTTTTGGCCCCGAGCACAATTTGGCGCGCGGGATGGGGAGGGGGTGGTAGGTTGAATGAAATCAACCGTCGCCATGGCTGCAGAAAAATACTGGTTATTTGAAAAAATTATCGCTGTCGGTAGAGTTTAATGAAATGCACCCTCTTATTATCGATTGAGCGGATAATACTTTTTTTTAAATAGAGGGGTTTATATATACTTTGTTGTTAATCGCCAAATGTTATAGTACTCGTAATTTCACACAGTATCTAATTATCCTATTCTATAACCCTTTATACCAGATGTAAACAAAATCCTTTTTTTTTTTCGAAGGTTCGTAATTCCGAAATGTAATTCCGAAATTTGAACGGGGTACATAATTCTGAAAATGTGACTGATCTCATGATACCGATTAAAAAAAAGTTCATAGTTCCGGAGGTTCATATCTCTAAAATTAGAACCCCGTTTCATTTTCAGAATTATGAACTCCTTTGTATGGGAAATTTGTGATTAGGAATTATAAAACTCCTTTCTTCTCGTGTGTTGTGCGTGTGTGTGCATGTTAACTTAATCATTTTGAATTCAATTTTTTTGATGTGGGGGCCCTTTTTACAAGAAATTTGCTTCTTCATGGTCCCGAACGTATATCTGCTTTGTATTATGTAAGTTTTATGTATTCTATTGTATATTTTGCTTTTAAATGTATATGGTTCCATTAATTAAATTTAATCGTTTGGTCTTCTCAAACGATTTCTGCTTCGGTGCATGTGCCTAAATAGGACATCGCCTGAGATTTTCTAGCCATTTCCTAATTCAGAATATTTGAAAGCTATTGCAGAAATTATTACGATGGTTCGCCTTTCGTTATTTGAACATTATCTCCGTTCAAATAAAGCAAGAAAAATTCTATTTAAGAAAAAAAAAAATAGTGAAGACTATTATCCTACTATTCAACGCGTAAACGGACAGTAGCCCACGTCATGTTTGTTGACAATCATACTCCCTGAATAGCGGTAACTATCCATACAGCACCATGCAAACAAGGACTGTCCAATAACATTTTTTGCACTTCCTCTTCCCCTTTAAGCCGTAGGGTTAGTGGCAAAACCAGAATTCTAGAGTAATATCATTTATCAGGTGTCTCAATTCTATCGTATAAACACATTGGATTTAATACGGATACCATAGGTGATCGTTTTTTGGTGCTTTGGAGCTGTGCGTCATGTAAAATGTGAAACAGTGTGATTTCGGAAGTTAATTATTGAATAATAGTACTTGACATTGGTTTCAAACTTGCGGCTGGACTAACACCTTGTATCAAACAGTTTTTAAAGATCGAGCAGGTATTTAAATTGTGTAGTTATGTTTTTGTGTTGTGTTATTCATTCGTTTTAGATCATTTAATATGTCTAAAAAACAATCACAATTTTAGGCCTATTTCGTGAATTCGTGAATAATGACTTCTAAATTATAACAGATTTCATAATATAGACCTGCTGCATAGATTTGATTGACCACTATTCCTATTTACCTCCATTATTATGTTCAAGTTATTTAGTTTTTTTAATCTTTATTTACATATTTTGCTTTGCGTTGCTTCGGTATAGTCTGTGTTTGATTTTTCACTGACAAGTCTTGTCACAGACTGTGAGTTATCGGCAAAGTGTTCGGGAATTCAAGGCGAAACTCGTAGATGAATGTGCGCCAAGCTGCCGGGGTAGAAGAACCGGCCAATAGGTGGGTTCCACACTTCCGCGATCTGGCGTTCCTTTTCAGATTTAACACAAATTATATTAAAATTCATTAGAATTGTGGTCGTAATAATGAAATATCTCACATATGTATATTTGGATACAATTACAATATACAATATATTCTATTAAAAGGTACTAGGCCCTATGTCCAATTTGCAGGACAAAAAATGAAAAGGTTGAATTCCAACGGCATTTGAAAGATAATACTAATATAGAACTTCCCTCATAGCGAAAGGGCTTGAAAATTTCTTTTAGTGGGAAACGAGCATAAGTTGTCGAATTGACTTAAGTGATTGCAATTATTTTATTAATAGTCTGGTTTTTAGACCCTTGTACCGAATGGCCGTACGTTGTGTGCTGCGCAAAGATTCAATCAGTTTAATTTTGGTCATTACAAGAAGTGGGTTATTGATGTAGACCAGTGGCGTACGCATGATTTTTTCAAGGGGGGGGGGGGTTAAAACTGGACCCCAAATTTTGCAACGACTCAGCCAGCCGCTGAATAAGCGAGGGGGGGGGGGGGGGATTGGTAAGCGGACACTTCCCCCCCCCCCCCCAAAAAAAAAATCGAAAATCGGAAATTTGAAAATTTGACATTTTGTCCCGTTGGGGGGGGGGGGGTTAGGTCACCTTTTTTTATGATATTTTTTATGAAAAAAAAATACTCAAAAGGGGTGGGGGGTTTCTCAAAAAAACATACACAAATCATACACTTAAAAAAAACTCAAGGGGGGGTAACCCCCCCCCCCCCCCCCCCCCCCCCACGCGCCTGATGTAGACACATGCTCATGTACCATTACAGCTCATTTTATGTAGGGTATTACCACAGAAAAAAACGAAGTCAGTCAGTCACTCATTGGCCCGAATTCACAAAGCAAGGTATGAGCTCAGACCAAGGTTTGAGGTCAAACCTCCTTTTGTTTCGCCAAACCTCCTTTTGTTATTTACAAACCTGGTTTGTAAATAACAAAAGGAGGTTTGGCGAAACAAAAGGAAGTTTGACCTCAAACCTTGGTCTGAGCTCAAACCTTGCTGTGTGAATTCGGGCCATGGTGTCTGACAGTGAAATCTAGAATTTGAATAATATAGGACACTGATAACGTTATAATTTTACTGATAGGAAATACGTGACATATTTTAATTCCTGCTAAGTTCTCAGAATTTGATTTTGGCTGCAAATGGGACATAGTACCTTTAACACGCCTTGTTTTTTTCCTCTTACTACATTATACAATGTTAAAAATCTTTAACTTCTCTCCTTGTTCTGGATTACTCATACATGTACACCCTGCAAGGAGTTACTAATGTAATCACTCATTGGTCTTATCCGGCGGCTTTTATTGTCAATGTTTTTTATTTTCAAATTCTAAAATGTTGTGACGAGAAAGATATTAAAACTCTTATAAATGCGATCATTATTTTAATGTTCTAAAAAGATAGGGAAACATGATTATATTCGCTTTGATTTTAAATGTTTTGCCATATCTTTGCCAAATAAACGACTGAATTGTGTCAATATTGATAAGATCATGGTCACAATGACGTACATAATGTTATGCATTTCCGAATTATATTTTGCTCTAAATTTTATTGATTGATCTCAGTGTTCAATAATTCATTCGCTGTTGATAAACTGCCTCAATTTTTATTTGTTTAAAAATAAAAAAATTATGTTCATGTCTCGCATATAGTCCCGCAGTTTAACCCCTTCTCTCTCTCACTTTCTCTCGCTCGCTCTCTCTCTCTCTCATCCATTCCATGTTTTTTTATCCTCTGGCTCATTTCTGCTTAGTTGATTTACTTTTCCCATTCCTCCTTCTACTTCGTTATATATTTAAACAAAAAGATTTTCGTCGAAGTCTTGTTTCATGTTTACTCAAATTATTTCCTTCTCCTTCCAAACTTCTTTTCTTTTAAACTCATTATTACCTTTCATTCTCTTCTTCTTTATATCCCCCTTCTCGCCCTCCTTATCTCCTTCTTCTTCTGCTTCCTAAACTCCTTTTCTTCTTCTTCTCCTCCTTCTTTTCTTCTTTTCCTTCTCCTTTTTATTCTCCTCCTCCTTTTCCTCCTCCTCCTCCTTCTTCTTCTTCTTTTTCTTTTTCTTTTCTTTTTCTTCTTCATCTCCTTGTTCTTGTTCTTGTTCTTCATATTTGTTGTCGTCGTATTTTTTTCTTTCCCTTCCACGCTCCCTTTGTTATTGTTATTCTTGGGCTTGTTCATTTTGTTCTTTTTCTTCTTCTTCTTGTTCTCTTTCTTCTTTATCTTCCTCTTCGTTGTCGTCGTCTTTGTCTTCTTTTCATATTGTTGTTTATTACTCTGGCTCATTCCTTTTCTCCTATCGTCATAAACTCCAACTCTTTTTTTCCTCTTCGGTTTCCTACTCTTATTCAAAAGAAAGAAAAGGGATAACATAAATGCTAAATTCCATCTAAAATCTAGAATGGCGGAGTTAGTGACAAACCGAGCTGAGAAGAGTGCTATCATAAAGAGATTCCAATCATACGGAAATGACAGCATGGCTTACTCAAGAGATCACTTCGAGGTAAGATTTACTATCTTTCTTTCATATACATTAAAAAAAAGTTATCATTAAGTATTGATGTCACCTGTACCTAGAAGGCGAAAAGCGAACTAAATCAATGTAACCCTCAGGTCTCTCTTCCCGGAATAACCGATTGGGGTTGTACAGGTGGACCACTACACTGGGGTTCCCCCTACTCTTAATGTGCAGTGGGTTCTTAAGGTGCAAAGGTGGCGACTCTCCTCTACACGGGGCCTCAATTTAACGTCTTATCCGAGGGATGGAGTGTTTTCCACTGTAACATATAGCCTGCATCTATGAAACAGCGGAGGGCACGTTAACACACAACGCAGACTTCAGTCATACGCCTGGGTTGGTAGTAGGTCCATGGTTTGATTCGAACCCACTTTTCCGACTGAGCCAACGCAACTCCTCTTTTGTCAACTCATTATGTTGAAAAAGAGAGCTTATTCGCAGTGTTACTCTTAATTGACAGTACCTTTCTTCATATCTTTTATAACCTTTTTTAAAGGGTTGGTAGTAGGTCCATGGTTTGATTCGAACCCACTGTTCCGACTGAGCCAACGCAACTCCTCTTTTGTTAACATATTTTTTCTTTTGTGATACCATACTTCGATGAATTACGATAAGAATTATTCGTAAGCAACAGTTCGGTGTTAAGAGAACCCAAGCATAAACACTAACTCCAAGTTAGAGGCATAACAGACTTAGATTACCTCTTCATTCTACATTGTCTAATTTAAAGAAAAATTGATGTTAAAATGTTATCATGTTACAAATAATTCTGGCATTCTTGTACTTTTGATAATTGCATTATTTTCATTTATCTCTGTTTGATAGAGAATTCAAACTGTATGAGGCTAGAAATGGAGATAAATGATCAAATCATTTTTAAGGAAAGAAAAGTTACAAAAAGGTACCTTCATAAGAACGCAAAAGTGTTAGAGAATATGTTAACCCCCAAAATAAATAGAAACAAAAATTACTCGGTTTGGTTACTTGTTTCAAGTATTTTGTCAACTCATTATGTTGAAAAAGAGAGCTTATTTGCAGTGTTACTGCTAGTTGACATTACCTTTCTTCATATCTTTTAAAACCTTTTGTAAAGCAAAACAAATGTGAAGAATGCTGTGAGTTACAAGGGGGTCGACTCAACTTCTACGAGAGTGCTAAACCTCATCACAATACGACTGCCACTGTGGTGAAAGTCGAGAAGAGAAGAGGGACTAACATACTCATTCTAAGATGTGGACCCGGTGGTCGTACGGTTATATTCTTGGAATTTGACTCGAAGTAAGAATTTTAGAGAAAGAGCATTAACATCTTTTTTCTTCTCCCATCCCCATTTTCTTCTTCTCCTTCTTCCTCTTTTTCAGCCTATGCAGGGTACCAACCTGTTCAAACAAAGTATCTGAACAAGAAAATTTCCGACTCTAAACGCTAATAGAAAGAAAAACGTTAATTTGTGCGGTCTTTTTAATGGCTTATGCATTACGAAAAAATAATGATAGATTAAACAATGGTTTTGTGATTATTACATAGAAATATATTTTGTCCATACAAGCCTTTATCTAGGAGGTTTCCCAGGCACCTAGGAGAAGTTTTCACATAAGCAACAACAATAAATAATACAAAATAAAACAAAACAGGGTCTCACATTTTGGGGGTCTTTCATTACTTTTAAGAGATAGCTCGAACTCGAAGAAAACATAGTACGTAAGACTAACAAACCAAAGCCTATCTAGATTCTTGAGCAATGAATAAAATCACAGTGCGTGGTAGAACAATGATGAAATCTTATTTATTTCTATAAAATGTACATGTTTATTACTTTTGTACGTAGAGCTCTTCGGGAACCCATTCTGAGTTGAACTTCGCTAGCAATATTGTTATCATTAAATCACAAAACATATCATAATTTAGAAACATAACTTGATATAAGCCAAGGGGGAATGTTGATTTTATGTGCAATTTTCCATTGTAGGAGATTAACAGACGAATGGCAGGAGGCACTCTGTCGATATACTGGCCAACCATATGAACCTAACCCTGTCTTACGGAGAGTGAGGTCTGAGCTACCAGCAGCAGCGAATCGTTGGAGGAGGAGGGCAATAACTCAATCAACCTTTTCTGATTTCGTCTTTGAACAGGTGAGTGTAAGCAGTGGTGGACCAGGATTTTGCACACAGAACGGGGGAGGGGGCACGTTTGAGAAAAGAAAATTTTGAGATTTAAAAAAAATGTTTGACAGGCAAAAATAAATGAATGGTTGGCAGATTTTAAAGTTTCCTTATGGGTTAAACATTTGAAAGGGGTGGAAGCATTTTTCTTTGTGTACTTAAAATATTCGATATTCCTTCTGAATGAATTAGGTGCATGATGCGGGCTAGTATGGCCCCCAATCCACCAGCATTGAATATCAAAATTACAGGTTGTCGCAATGAGCTAGTCCTCTTGACTCACAGTTCGTTTCATAATTATGAAGTGAAGACCTACTTTTCTGCGCATCAGATTTCCATGCTCGCTAAATTCTTTCTGTTCTGCTCGCCAGAATAATATAAAGATCAATACAAATTCATAACTAATTAAAGTCAATTTCTCTGGAGATTCATTTTTCTAATACTGAAGACTTTATTGAAAAATTATTGAATGTGTTCCGTTTGAAGCAGGTTGATTCAGATGCTGAACAAGTTGAAAATCCACCTGAAAGTCTCGAAGAAACTCTTCCAGCTGGTACGGTATCTACCCCGGAAGCTCCCCAAGAATCTCCTCTTGAAGCTCCACAAGAAGTTCCTCTTGAAGCTCCCCAAGAAGTTCCCCTTGAAGCTCCCCAAGAAGTTCCCCTTGAAGCTCCCCAAGAAGTTCCCCTTGAAGCTCCCCAAGAAGCTCATCTTGAAGCTCCCCAAGAAGCTCCTTTTGAAGCTCCCCAAGAAGTTCCGCTTGAAGCTCCCCAAAAAGTTCCGCTTGAAGCTCCCCAAGAAGTTCCTCTTAAAGCTCCCCAAGAAGTTCCGCTTGAAACTCCCCAACAATCTCCTCTTGAAGGTCGTCCGGAAGTTCCTCCAGCTCCTCCGGTAGCTCCCCCTTCTGCACCGGGTTCACCGATCGAAGAGCTAGTCCCAAGCTTTACCATTGAGACGAGTGAGACAGACGATTGTGATGATGCACACACTTATTCCGGTCCTGCAAGCTTGCGATCACGTGATGATGATAGCATGTGTGTAATTCTTATCATTATACATAAGAAGTTTAGTGGTCATGGACAAAACTTTAACAAAGAATGTACATTTCGCATCAAATAAGTCCCTTTCTGGCACTGTTTCTGATAAATGCATAAAAATAGCAGTACAACTTCATTTGAAATGAAAACATAAGTAAATATCGCACAGTGTATGTAGTACATAAAGTGTAATAATAATTCATTATACATTTTCATTTTCATGCAAGTACAATTTAAAGTATACAATATAGTCCAGTATTATTGATCTTTCATTGTCCTCTGTGTATTCCTCACCTTTAAAGGCATCGTTTAACAAATACAATCTGAGATACATGGCCCTACGTGTTATCTGTGTCTGTGATATGGTGTAATATTGAGGTCCTATAAAAATTGCGCTTGAAAATTATCATAAAGGGCCTCCAAAAAGTAAGAGTCTTTGAGTGACCGGTTTTACCATAGTCATTTTCCCCAATGGACTGTAGTGTTATAAAAACCGTTAGGAAAACGAATTCTAAAATTTCTAATTCCAATCGTAAATATCTTGATAATCAGACAGGCGATTGGCTAGTAAAACACATGGGGTTCTTGACTGACCTACAGGTTTATAACTATGATTGTAGCATAAGCAAAATCAATTAAAAAAAAATAAAGAATCTGAGGCAAAGTTATCCAATCCCTTTGAATTTTCCTTCATTTTGTATAATTGTCTCTCTTTCTCTCTCTCTCTCTCTCTCTCTCTCTCTTTCTCTCTCTCTCTCTTTCTCTCTCTCTTTCTCTCTCTCTCTCTCTCTCTCCCTCCCATTAGTTCAACACTCGCAGACTTGGCCAAGAACTCGGTTGAGAAGGAGTGCACCCTTTCAGATCTGCAGAAACTGAAAGTCAAAGACTGTGGAGGCGATGTTATGTAAGTAAGGACCCTTTCATACTGCATGTCCAAGGTTACCTGGTTACAAGTCAAGGGTGAATGACCCCTATAAATAGACGAAGTGGTTCTGGTTATTGTTGTGGTTGTAATTATTGTGTTTTCGTTGGTATTATTATTAGCATTAGGAGTAGCAGCAGCAGCAACAGTAATAGTAGTAGTAGAAGTAGTAGTAGGAGTAGTAGGAGTAGTAGTAGAAGTAGTAGTAGTAGTAGTAGTAGTAGTATTATAGTAATAGTTGCTCTTTTTGTTGTTATTTGTTGTTGTTTTCTTGTTATTGTTGTTGTAGTATTATTATCATAATAATAATAATAATCATACGTATTATTCTTATCAAGGTGAGGGTGAGTTACATTAAAAGAGAATATTAGGTTGTAAGCTTATTATTTCCAATTGTTGATATAAATGTTGCATAAAATTAAATTTGAAATCGCTCTTGAAGTACTCTTACATTTCAAATATTAGTTTTCAAAAATATCATAAACATTAAATCTCGTTATACAACTTATTTGTGTAGTTCTGTCACCCTATAGCTGTGTAAAGTGTTTTTTTCAGTAAGATTTATTAAACTTGTTATACAGATTTGTTATATTTATTTTTAAAGAATTTAATCTCATAATAATCAGTTATTCTTCTTTACTGGATCATCAATCTTCGATGATAATTTCATAACTAACTATGTTGTTAGTTATTTGTCATGTTGATTGAAACGACCCTCTTAGGTAGATCTTTTTGTTCACTGTAATGGTCCTGTTCAAAATCAGCATTTGTACACTGTACTCTATTGAAGTCAGAAAGCACTTCGATCATCTATGGAAATCACTTACGTGGACCACTAGAAAGATCTTTAAGAAATAGGTATGAGACTATTTCATAATCATTAACACGGTTATCATTTCCCCATAAAATTCAGTATGTTGTATTCTCTCGTTTATCAGATTTATTCCGATACACATTGTATGCAAAATCTTCCCTTCCTGGAGAGCATTCCAGAATGTGCGTTTTGGGGATTCATAAGCTTTACAAGGGCCTACTTTTGTCATTGCTTTTAGCGATGAAATTTTTTAATATTTACATGGTAAATAGAAACCTAAAAATAAATAGACAATGGTGAGCAAACTACATTGCATATTGTTTAAAAAGATAATAAAGCTGTTATATGTTTAATGAGGTAATTGGGTTCGATGAATTCGGGAAGTATGCCCCGAAAAAATATTCATTACCTTCATTGTAAAAAATAATCAATTCCAGAATGCGTGACTTCTATTAAATGCCAAAGCAAATCCGGGAATTTCCCAAATGTTCACCGCCTTTACAGTTATTGCCCTTTCATTTTAATTTTGATCACAATTTTACAACACATTACCGAGTTGACAGTCTTTATACGATCACCTTTTGGAATAGACACATATTTCAGTTAACGCATTCTTCATTACCCCTAACTTTTGAACTATATAATTCACTTGCTATTCATCATGGCATCTAAATAGATGTAATTTTTAAATGTCTGACATGCCTCTGACAAGCTTTTAAGCCTTCAAGAACATCTTTCGTATAAGGAATATGTATGAAATTAGTAAGCAGATTTAATCTGTAATTATTGAATTTCTTCCGGAATTAGAATGGTCTTTGGCATCCATAATTAGGTGGTTCACCTTTTGTTTTAAATTTATGCTTATGATTATGAAGTGTAAAGGAATTGGCAACTCCTCTTTGGCACCTACATGTTGGAGATAAAATAGTGATGATGAATGACCAAGGTCGCCCGATGAACGCCCGAGAAATAACCAAGCTCATCCAAACATCGCCCGAAAAGACGGTTCGTAATATATTGCAAACATTAGTCATGATTTTATTTTTCAAATCTGAGACCACTTGTTCCTTCTATGTGCATGTTCTCTTCCACTTCCTCCTCCTCCACCCCTCCTTCTTCTTCGTCGTCATATTCCCTTCTTCTCCATCTTCTTCATCATCTTCTTCTTCTTTTCTTCTTTTTCTTCTTCTTCTTCTTCTTCTTCTTCTTAGTATTCTTCGTATTTTTCTTCTTCATCTCATTTTCCTCTCCTCCTCCTCCTCTTTCTTCTTCTCCTTTTTCTTCTTTTTCATCATATTCTTCTTCTTCTTCTTCTTCTTCTTCTTCTTCTTCTTCTTCTTCTTCTTCTTCTCATTCTTCTTCTTTTTATCCTTCTGGCTTCTTTTGTAAATAGGTAGCTTATGTAGAGGAAATGAAGTGAAATTGCTGCAATGGAATTTGATTGTGAAGTTATGAAACTAATTATATCCAAAAGCAAAAAAATTAAAGCTCACATTTTATTCTAGTTCAAATGCCAAATAAAAAAAACAATTTCTGGAATAAACCACTTTCTTGTAAACTTCGTCATAATGAAAGAAAATATGTAAATGTTATTCTTTTGCTGATGACTAAATGCTCTTCCGAGACGGATAGATGTTTGTTATCTACTTGCAATTTCATGTTTATACCTATATCATTATGATGACATATAGGCTTGTATATTTCCTTCTAAATATTTAGATAGTTCTTACTATTGTACGAGGCGCTTTAGGTATTGTGAGAGAGGAAGAACATGAACTGATCATCAATTTCAAAGGATCCCAGGTATATCATACTTGTAATTAATGAATGCTACTTCGTACCATGAATGAATAAACATAAGCTGATAACTCAATATACAGAATACATAAACAGGCGTAAATCCATTCAGTGCCATAACATGGTATTATGTTTGAATATACATCTATTTCACAATGTGATTTCAGTAGTTTTGGTTTACATCAGCCTGTCTGTGAATAAATGTGTCCTTTATTTAATTCATTTAGCTGCCTACAATATATATATATATAACATTCATACGTTTGTAGCAATTATGTTACTTTTGATTCGTGATCGTCTTCTTCTATTTACTACTGAGAAGATAACTATTTAAGAAATTCATGAATTATTTTAACCTTATCATGCTTAGTAGAAATGAATCTGCTTGTAAACGCCTCATTCAACCTTCACTGTACCCCATTAAGCTGGAATAATCTTTTCTTGCCTCTTTCCATGCAATGATTGTGACAATACGATTACTATTTTATGGCTCTCAAGACTTTATTGATCAATCTTTATGACTCTTTAGATTGATCAATAAAGTTCTGAGAAAATAAAAACATTTCATTAAAAGAGGTATGGAAAATAATTCCAATTTGATGGGCTATCAAAGGCAACAATGTACATTAGTTTTGGCCAAATTCGATAATTTTATAATGACATTTCTTCAACCTTTTGCTTTCTCTACCGGTCACAGACGGTTAGACTGGACACAGTAGATCTGATTCTCAGAGCATTTACATCCCATTGTTCTCTAACTTATGCTGAGATGCCAGAGAGATCCAAGCTCACCATCACAGAGATTAACAACATCCCGGTGTCCATTGGCTCTCAACCAGACCAGGTAATTTAAACATTTTCATAAGATGTTCGTTGCACACCATTTTAATGATAATGCATTAATCAGACCACTTGAACAAATCCTAAAAAAAGAAAATCACCAACATCCCCACAAACACCACCCAATACGACAGAATTTCATCCAAATATCCTGCGGTGGGGGGGGGGGGGGGGGGGAGGGGAACATCATTCGGTGATATGATTAAAGATAGAAGTTTCGTATTTGTTTTGTTCGCTTGCTATTTTTCTGTCTGCCATCGGAAATTACATTTGATAAAGAACTAGCGAAAATAGCATGCATGTAACAAAGAAGTACCAAATTACATTTTTAACAAAGAACATTATAGGGAACTAAGCATGTAAAATTCATCCTTCATTGACTTGTAAGTCAATCAGCAAACAAATATATCTCACAAACATACTCTTCGTCTCTGTTAAAAAAAAAGTGTAAAGAAAAACTTGAGGAGTTACAAATGTGGGATCTTTAGGAGACCTTGGAAATGTCAAGATTAATGGACTGTCAGTTTTATTTTATTTTATTTTTGTTGTTATTAGGGGAGAGAGCGTGGGATTGTCACACACCCTCTACAGATTCTGTAGGCTTTATTTGTAAACGCTTATTTCATAATGTTTGTAAGCAATTATTTTTTTTACAAATGGTGGACAATTTTAAAATTAGTCGGCAGATTTTTTATGAATATCGCAAAAACGCTTTGTTGTGGTCCTTCGTCAGATAATTTCACAAAATCAAGACTTTTGTTGTTTGCTTATTGGAATTTTTCATGAAAGATGTCAGTAAATTATTCCCCCATCCCGTTCAAAATTTCCGGCAGCGCCTCATGTTATTTTCTGGTTTATTTATTTGTCTTCAGATTGCAATTAGTATGAGAGAAGCTCTTGATACCTCAAAGGGATATCTAACGATTCGTCTTGTTCCACAGTCGTTGCTGGACGCTTTGGCCGAAGAGGATGATGATACGCACGACGAGCAAGCACATAATATGGTGGATGAATAGTAGTCCACGATTAAAAATCAGAAGATCTTTCTTCGAAAACTAGAAGATCTTTCTTTTAAACTTGAAGATATTTTTTTCCTATACAGGACCTGTCTGTACATCAGTGAACATCATTTAACACTCTTATGCTGGTGTTCTATGGAAAGCGTTAAATGCCATGAAAGTTAAGGTCAAGAAATAGATTTGTCGATGGAACTCTGTGGCAATGAGTACCATCCATAGCATACAGAGCAATGATCTGTATATATCAATGTCCGTTTCATTGCTGTGAAACTATTCAGTGTGGGTGACTCAGGGCCTCTCCAAGACACCAGCCAGATATCCCTTCTGTTCCTACAACCTCGTAGAACAAGCAACCTATCACTCAACATCTTCGAACCAATTCAAGAAAAATATGAAGGGTTCACATTTTGTCAGTAAACATTGGGTTTTTACACATATTTTCTTTTATATTAGCTTTCATTTTTGTAGGGTTGTATTATTGTATGAGCTCCCCTATACTTGATGGAGGACATGTTTTAGCGCTTTGTAATTGCAAAGAAATAACTTGCGAATGGTATTGTTTAGATGCCATTAGGTACCTTGTAACCATGTTGAACCCAACGTGTTTATAACAGGGCATGAAATACTGACAGCAAAACATAAGCTCAGAGAATGTATTCAAAACGGGTGTGAGGAGACTACATGTATATATAAATGTATTCAAAAACGGGTGTGAGGAGACCATTCAGTCGATGGTATTTATCTCAGATGTTTTCATCCAATACTTCAATGAATAGTTGCAGGAAATGGCAGTTTCTGTCTTTATATAAATGTATTAAAAAAGGGTGTGAGGAGACTACATGTATATTCAAAACGGGTGTGAGGAGACCATTCAGTCGATGATGTTATTTATCTCAGATGTTATCATCCAATACTTTGATAAATGGTTGCAGAAAATTGCAGTTTCTGTTTTTATATACATGTATTTAAAAAAAAAGGGTATGAGGAGACGACATGTATATATGTAAATGTATTTAAAATGGGTATCATCAAAATGATAAGAAATTTGGCCCATTCTTTGTAAAGTTACAAGCACTATACACAGAAAGATGTATATGGGACTACCCTATATCTCTCACAGACCATGAGAGAAACAAATTTACCAAATATATGAATTAGTAGGCGGTTTCCCGGCAAATTTTTTATCATCATGTATTAGTCAAAACATATTCTTTCACATGATTGGTTATGAGAGCTTCCATTTCATTTTTTTGAAATTGGGGCGTTTCCAATACTGGTCTTTACCTTTAAAGGGTACTATTCTTGTATTATTTATTGTACTACTTTTTCAGGAATAGCAATGTCTATATCATGTATACATGTAGGAAGGGATGTAAAGATCATTTTGAACAAGAATGAATGGTATACTGCATATTAATCTATGGAATGAAAACTTGTTATGACATGAGTAGAATTTGTTATATTGTAATTACAATAAAGACGTATATATTCTTTAATAATTTTCCAAAATTGTCTGTAAAAAATGACTATTTTGATGTTAGCATATGCGAGAATGTTGATGGCAAAGTAAACAGAAATGAAGAATGTACTTGTGCTTCGTTGTAGGTAAGAATGACTGGCTAACATGGTGATGAATAAGAAAAAAGTAGTGGGAAAATTGTGTGTGTGTTGAGAAAGAGAGAGAGAAAGAGAGAGAGAGAAAGAGAGAGAGAAAGAGAGAGAGAAAGAGATAGAGAGAGTGGGTAGAGAGAGAAAGAGAGAGAAAGAAAGGGAGACAGAGACAGAGAAGAGACGAACAGACAGACAGAGAGAGAGAGAAAGAAGAAAGAAAGAAAGATAAAAGAAGAAGAGGAGGAGGAGGATGAACAAGAAAAAAAAGTCGCCTGAAATTACAAAAATAGCACATTTTATTTTGAATTCCATCTGGAAGGCTCTTAACAATTCAAGTGAATACCCTTTTTGTATATAAATATGATCTTGATGAATTATGGATTTTTTGTTTTCACAACTCCTTTGTTATTCTTTAAGGAATAATTATAAAAAAAGGAATTAGATAAAGAAAATTCATAAAAAAAGATTAGGCAGGGGTGAGGCATAGAGACATCCCACTTTAACAAACAAAATACATAGGCCTACATAAAACATACATACAAAAAAAAAAAAATTGTGTATTTTATATATTCAAGGCAATATTTTGTGAAAACATGATTTGAAGGAGAGTTTTGAGATTAAAGTCATAGTGATAATTTGCCTTCTTTCTAGTTCCACTGACGACTTGTTTACTTGTCCATGGTTCAATCACCTCTAGCGATGAGGTATGCTACTGTATATTTAATCAAGGCCTTGTAAATCCTTGATATGATGTCTGATTGAAAACGATTCCTTATGAAACACACAATATACTATTTTTAGACCATGGCTTCTATCCTTTGGACTCAGAAAAATCATTTGTGTGCGTTATATGTAATCCTCACAGTCATGACATTTTATCATCTTTATTTTCTTTATAATTGAACAATTTACCTTAATTTTTAGCTTCAGTTTCAGTTTAGTGTTTCTATAATTCACATGATATTACAATATAAAACAATTGTTTGAAAATTATAATCTGTACTAAACATTTCTTTATTGTTAATATTTAAGTAGACTGTGTTTTAGATATGTGACCCCAAACAGCAAGGCCATACTTGAGATAAGGCAAAATAAGGGCAGAGTACAATGAAAGTAGGGCACTTGTAGCAAAATAGTGCTTTAGTCTGTTAATAATACCACCATTTCTTGACACTTAACTGTTATTGATGTTTAATCCTTGTCAATATATACAGACTAAGAAATGGAGTCAGCCATGGCTTAATTCGTGTAGTTGATATGAGAGTGACGAGACCTGGGAGAACATTAAGAGTGTTATTAAAGAACATATGACAAACAAGAGGAATGCTTTCAGCATTTTATACGAACATTTTTTGGTCTATGCCTCCCTCCACGTTTTATATCTGCGACTCTTCCCCCTTTACACAAATGTAATAGGCCTATTTTACGATTAAGAAATGCGACTAAGAAATAAATAAACATTTGGATAAAGTACCCCTGTAACCCCATTGCAAACTTGTATGACAATACAATTTTCTTCCCCACTGAAGAGTTATTTTCATAAATAAGTAATTCCCCTAACTTTTCAGCTATTTTGCAATGATTTTTTTTTAAATTGATGCCCTAGTTTGAACAAATCGCATTGATAAGCTTGAATGCTTTCATAATTGTTGTTGAAGTCGCATAATTTTTGCAACATTGCTTCCTCTTTTTATTTCATACAGTAGCGAAACCAAGAGTACTTCTCATTCCTTCAATTTGTTGGGCAGCCGATATAACATATCTTGGGGATAATAATGAGATGGTGACTTTCTTTCTTAGATTGTACATGCCAGGGATTTTGAAAAAAAATTGGAATTAGACCCTTGTCTACAAAGAGTTTCTACTTCATATCAGGTAATCACGGTTTGTTTCCAACTGCGCCAATTTATATAAAAGTTATTTTTACTCTATGGATTTGTATTATGTAAACTATCGTACTGGAATAGCCTACTAGAAGATCATTATAATCGTATTACAGTGTAGAGTCTCAGGATGACAGGTACTGTAAAATTGTATATTATACTTTGAGGAGAGCTGATGAGATTTAATCATTGTACTAATGAGATTTAACATAACATGCCATTAAAATTTAATTGTTCGTGGGAAATAAACACAATTATTGTAGCTTTTTTTAATCAAAAAAAATAAATTTATGCTGCTGTATTCTTTGTAACCTCATTCAGAAAATGAAAACATCGTTCTATTTCTGAAATTTATTCAATTTGGTAATAACAAATGATAATGCATACTACACGAACGATCTTATTTGATTACGAACATACTTGTCAGTATTTCGTTACTTGTATAATTCATTTGTTCTATTATATATTGTATGGTTTATATATGTCATTTAATTTGTGGATATTTAAGTGGAAAATAAATCAAATAAAATCAAATCCAATCAAATCTTCCCAAAGTAATAACAATATTGTAAAATGTCACTTTATGCTGACGATACTTGATGTATGTTTCATCTAAAGACCCCAAACAAATGTATGACGTGATTAGCGAGGATTTATCCTCTATTTTAAATTGGTTAACTCATATTGAGCTTTTGTTAAATGTATTAAAAAAAAGCTAATACTTGTAGGCTCTACGCGTGAGACCAAATTATTTGGCAATTTGAGTGCAAGGATTAAAGGCCCTTTACTTTTAAAGAGTAGATAAATACTATTATCGGGGTGTTATTATTGACGAGGAATTTTCTTGGAGACCACATATTGACACTATCCGATCTAAAATCTTATGAAATATGTTTATGCTTACGAGAATTATAACATACATAAACGTAGCCACCAGTGCTTTTTTATACAAAATAATGATTCACCCTCACTTCGATTAATGTAACACTGTGTGGATGAAACTGGATTCCCTGCCTCTGAACAGGCTCAAAATATAGGATTTCCCGGCCAAATTCGCGAGTTTGTCATCAAAATTAATTTGTCTTGCGTTCAATTTCGACGGTTTTAGTGCTGTCATGTATATCTCGGGTTTATATCCTTTTTCTAGGTTTCAAATCTATGAACTTTTCGTTAATATCTATGTATATTTCATTCAAATCAATGAACAATGTGCTTCTTTCGCTATTTGGTCATTCGATTTGGCGCAACACGAATTTCTGACATCGCGACGGTGCACTTCTAGTATTCTAATTCATTTGTAGCATTCAAGTTAGCACTTTGTGCATTTAAATTGATGGTCAATATACATTTCTAGTTTATTACACACTTTTTGTATCTCATTCTTTTTCTTTCAAGATTGTTTTGTTAACGTGTAGTTCATCATATTTTGTTTTCTTGCATTTATACATTTATACTTATGAGATTTATCTGATATTCATCAGCATTTAAGTTTGAGTGTTAAGAAAAAAAAGAATTGCATCTTCGGACTTGATGGTCTCAATATGTTTGTAAATTGTCGTGTTTATTTAATGTTTGACTACACCCAATTGCAATGTCTTGAACATGAATTAATAGAATAAAAGAATAGACCCCAATGGCAAATCACGCATTTTAATTGCATTATTTTTAAAACTGCAAAGTGTTGCATATCTTCCCCCTAACTTGAATAAACATATTTCGAATACGAATGACAGGTGTTAATTTAAGTGATAACAATGACGCCTCGACAAGTGACGAATAATTTGAATGCTAGTTGAGCAGTTTCTAAATAAAATGACAGATCCATGAAACCCTTCAACCAAAATACTTAATTAAATACAAAAACGGGACAATTTAATGATAATTGGCATGGCAAAGCCGATCTGCGGTAACTTAAATGCAAAGTAAATGAATTCGAATGACAAACTCGCGAATTTTTAACGGGAAATCCTATACTAAAAAACAGAGCACTAAGAATGGTTTTACAAGTGGATTCTCGGTCCCATAGAAGTTTTTTTTTAATACGAAACCCATTCTATCGATTGTTTGAATGTAAAGATAAAAAGAAAGACCTTGCTTTTTTATGTTTAAATTGTTAAGGTTATACAAAGTTTTGGGACATTTTGAAATTGGGTGGATAGTGATTCTTTACAATTTTTTTTATATATTTGGATGCCCCTGTGGATGTTTTATAAGCGCTAAAAAATTTAGCCCCTAAAACAATTCTGCTTTCAAGAAAAATTGAATATAACAATTTACCGGTGCTCCCGGTATATTTTGATAAATTTTTAAATAGCGCCTACGGCCGTATAATGGTAGCTGCAAACATGAAAATCGCAGACTATGTAGTTGTGATATATGATTTCTAAACGGGAATAGCTAATCGTTCGATTTTAGTCAAGAAACATTGTTTTATAGCTTAATTAATACCTTGACCTTGAGAGGGAGCTATACAACATAAAGAGTTAATTATTTACAATTCCATAACATAACAATTCCAACATGTTCATTTGAACCAAATTCATAACCCCATACCAAAACTTTGTATTACCTTCCATTGATTTGTTCCCTAATGTATTAAGCTCTAAAATAGAAGTTAAACAAACGCACCACTCTCTCAGAAATACCGAACGGATTATTGTCCTTGCCAAACCTCACACTAACGTTGTGAAAAAAGCACAGTATACACTGCCCTTCAATTATAATTATTTAATAACCTCTCTCCAACTGTAAATACCGAAATCTTGATCATATAATTTGTGTTCATTAATACCATTTGTCTGATTCCTCCATTTTCCCTACTATCTTCTTTATCTCTACTCGAATTGTTTTATTTTTTAATAATAATTTGTGTATGACTTGTATTTAGTTTTTGTATACTTTTATTTATCCTATGCAAATAATTTGTAATTATATACTATGTTATTTTGTTAATGTTGTCCTCTTTTGCATACGGACTTGCTGAAAAACAGCCTTGCGGCTGAAAACAGGTTTTCTGTTAGTATTACCGTATTGAAATAAATAAAAAATAAACAAACAAACTTCTTCTCCATAATTAGATATTTTCCTCAAAGTCCCGTTTCCTGTCTACTCCAATCATTTCCTTCTCTAGCTTCCCTATTTTCTTTTGCGTTTTAACTTCTTCTCACCATTCATTTATTCTTATTGTTTATATTGTTCTTCTTTCTCCTCCTCCTCCTTCTTCTTCTATTTTTTCTTATTTTCCTCCTTCCTCTCCTTCTCCTCCTCCTCCTCCTCCTTTTTCTTCTTCTTCTTCTTCTTCTTCTTCTTCTTCTTCTTCTTCTTCTTCTTCTTCTTCTCTTTCTTCTCTTTCTCTTTCTTTTTCTATACAGATCCCTTTTTCTTTCTATTCGTTTTACTCCTCTTACTAAAAGATGAAAGGGTTAACATATATTATGAATTCAATCTAAAATCTAGAATGTCGGTTGGGGCAAACCGAGATGAGCTACCGATGGCCATCTTAAAAAGCTTCTATTCACACGGAAATGACGACAAGGCCTATTCAAGTGATGACTTCGAAGTAAGCTGCACTATCTTTCTTTCGTATTTTCATCGTATTCTTTCTTTCTGAATTTCAATACTTTGGTTTATACGATAAGAATTATCCGTTATCCTATTCACAACGAAATGTTGACACGGTTTACTCAAGTGATGACTTCGAAGTAAGATTTACTCTCTTTCTTACATATTTGTTAAAACATTTTTTTTCTTCATCGTATTCTTTTTTTTTTTAATATCATACTTTCATGAATTACGATAAGAATTATCCATAAGCATACAGTTCGGTGTTAAAAGAACCCTAAAATAAAGCATCAACTCCAATTCAGAATCATAACAGACTTATTTTTCATTATTTAATATTTAACTTTACACATATACTAATGTCCATAAAATCGGATGTGTGTAGCAGTATGAAAACATATATAAAAATAAAGAAATGTTGATGTTAAATGTTTCTCATATTATTCATTATTCCGGAATGCTTTCATTTTTTAGAAATGCATTATTTTCAAGTACCTCTGTTTGTTGGAGAATGCAATGTGTTTGCAAGAAATGGAGATAAATAGTCAATTTTTTTTACGGAAAGAAAATTTCCAAGAAAAGTACCTCGATAAGAAGGCAACACTGTTAGAGAATATGTTAATCTAAACATGAAAACGAATTGATATAGATTACTTGGTTTGGTCACTTGCTTTCACTGCCTCATTTAAACAAGTATTTTTCATCTAATTTATTGTGTCAAAAAAGAGTATATTCGCGGTGATACTCGTAATTGACAGCACCGTTTTTTAAAATACCTTTTAAAACTCTTTTTTATAGAGATATAAACGTGAAAATTGCTGTGAGTTACGAGGAGGTCGACTCAACTTCTACGAGAAAGGTGAACCGGATCACAACACAACTACCACTGTTATGAAAGTGGAGAGGAGAAGAGGAACTAACATACTCATTCTAAGATGTGGACCCGGTGGTCGTACAGTTATATTCTTAGAATTTGACTCCATGTAAGAATTTCAGAGTATATAGCATTAACATCTTCAACTTCTCCTTCTTCTTCTTCATCTTCTTCTTCTTCTTCTTCTTCTTCTTCTTCTTCTTCTTCTTCTTCTTCTTCTTCTTCTTCTATCCCTTCTTCTTCTCCTTCTTTTTCTTCCTCCGTCATCTTCTCGTTCCTCTCGTTTGTTAGAGCAAGAGGGCTCTCCGACATATGATCTGGCGACAATCGTTCAAAAGATATAGGGTTAGACTTAGGGTTGCAAAGGGATTAGTTTAGATTTAGGGATAGTTATTTGTACATGATTGACATTTAGACTTCAGTTATGAGTAACAATTTACGCTGAGCTATTGATAATGAAGGAGACGGTCGCGAATAAAATATCCGATTCTTTACCTCGTACACTAAAAGTAGCAAAATTATGAATCTATTCTGTTTGTAAATCAAATAGATGTATATTACTTTCGTATGTAAAGCTTTATGAGAGCCCATCCTTAGTTGAACTTCGCTTTATAAAAGCATTATTATTATTATCATTAAATCACCCCCCCCCAAAAAAAAAATAAAAAATAAATAAATAATAATAATGATAATTTAGAAACATAACTTGATGCGCCAAGGGGGATGTTGATTTTATGTGAAATTTCCCTTGTAGGAGATTAACAGGCGAATGGCAGGAGGCACTCTGTCGATGTACTGGTCAACCATATGATCCTACCCCTGCCTTACGGAGAGTGAGGTCTGAGATCACAGCAGCAGCGAATAAATGGAAGAGGAGAGCATTAACTCGATCAACCTTTCCTGATATCGTCGATGAACAGGTCAGTGTAAGCAAGGGTTGGCCAAGGTTTTGTACACAGAATGGGGAAGGGGGCACAATACAGAAAAGTAAATTTGCAAAAACCCCAAAAGGTACAGGCCTATACATGGGATACTCCGCTCAAAAAAATCTTTGGCGAGCAAATAGAAGTGAATGGTTAGCAGATTTGACAGTGGCCTCATGAGTTGAAAATTTAAAAGAAGTGGAAGCAATTTCCTTTCGGTACTTAAGATATACGATATTATTTCTTAAGGAAGTAGGGGCACCCTGCGGGCCTGTATTGCCCCCAACCCACCAGCTATGCATATTAAAATAACATGTTTGCCCAATGAGCTAGTCCTCCTGACTCACGGTTAGTTTCATAATTATTATGAAGAGAAGACCTACTTTTCAGCGCATCTGATTTCGATGTTCGCTCTGTTCTTTCTATTCTGCTGGTCTGAACAACAAATTAAAATTCAGAATTAATGGAAGTCAGTTTCTCTGGAGATACATTTTTTTAGTACTTAAGACCAGATTGAAAAATTATTGAATGTGTTCCCTTTGAAGCAGGTTGATCCAGATTCTGAACAAGTTGACCCCTCTTCGGAAACTCCCCAAGAAGCTCCACTAGCTCCTCCGGTAACTCTTCCGGAAGGTCCCTCCGGCCCTGTCAGCTCGCGATCACGTGATGATGATCTCAGGTTTGTACTCCTCATCATTATTCATATGAATTTTAATGGTCATTTACATTTCGTATTAAATCAATCACCTCCTGGCACTGTTTCCGATAAATGCACAAAATAACAGTTCAACTCTAATTGATTTGATTCGATTTGATTTGATTTTCTTCTGCATTCATGTATGTATACAGTACACAGTATACAGTACACAGTACACAATAAAAAAGTATACAGTATACATTTTTTCGATAACAATAAAAATACAAAGTACATGACCACATTTAGTAGATATTGCACATGTGTATTTTTAATGCAAGTACAATGCAGAATATAGAATATAGTCCAGTATCAATTATCATTGATATTTTTTAAAGAAAAATGACATTATGTTGATATCTACCGTGTGAGTAAAAAAAAGTTAACACCTAGAAAATTGCTAATTATTCTTAAAACATCTATAAACAGTAAATTATTATTCATCTTATGAAATAGTGTTTTATCCCAAATCATTTGGTACCATTTTTGTGTGGTATGTGTTCACGCTTGGATGAACAGGAGGCATTGTTTGCGAGAGTGCAAAAATCGACTTGTGCCAAAGTGACACCTACAGTATGTATTATGTTGGGATTAGCGGAGTGACAGAATGAATTGAATGTATCAAATGAAATGCATTGCATATGCTTTTTGCAAAGGGCAAAGTCACAAACACCCACATACGCGCACAAAATGTTCGTTAAAATTAGATATTCGATTTTTGATTAGTGTGGCATGATTAATTTTGTTAGGGATGTTATTTGGATCTGCAAAGACCGAATTAATACCCAAATCCCAATTGTTTTATTCAAACATCACTTAAGCAACATTGGCGCAAGTCGATTTTTGCAATCTCGCAAACAATGCCTCCTGTTCATCCAAGCGTGAACACATACCACACAAAAATGGTACCAAATGATTTGGGATAAAACACTCTTTCATAAAATGTATAATAACTTACTGTTCATGGATGATTTTAAAAATAATTAGCAATTTTCTAGGTGTAAACTTTTTTTTGACTCACACTGTACAGTGCAGTATCTATATAAATTTATATTACACACGTCATATTCGTTCTTGTTTTATAATCTTTACACATATTGTAAAAGCCTATATACTCTCCTTCATCTGTTTGCTTCCTCCTCTTTCTCTCTCTCTCTCTCTCTCTCTCTCCCTCTCTCTTTCCCTCTCACTCGGTCCTCTGTGTATTCATCACCCTTAAATTGTCCTTCATCTTTATAATTGTTTATTTTATTTATCTTTTCTCTCTCTCTTTCTCTCTCTCTCTCTCTCTCTCTCTCATTAGTCAAACGCTTGCAGACTTGGATAAGAACTCGGTAGAGAAAGTGTTCGACCTTTCAGATCTGCAACAACTCAAAGTCATGGACTATAAAGGCGATGTTGTGTAAGTAAGACCCTTTTCATACTGCACCAGACCAGTCAGACATTAGGTAAAGAAGGGGAGAAATCAAGGGATATGGCATTTCTGCACGGACATGTTTATAATACCCCGGAAAGGTGGGGATACAAAAATACCTTCCCAAGTCACAATATTGTACCCTTCCTCCATGATGAAATTGTGATAAATTTATGATAAAACATATGAATATTTACAAACATATTGAGACCAACAAGTCCGTAGTGGCAATTTTTTTTTTTTTTTAACAATCAAATTTAAAGGATGATGAATATCAGATAAATCTAATAAGTATATAAAGAGTATAAATGCAAGAAAATAAGATATAGAATACACATGAAAAAAACAACCTTGAAAGAAAAAGAATGAGCTATAAAAAGTGTGTAATGAACGAGAAATGTATATTGACCATCTATTTTAGTGCACAAAGTGTTAATTTGAATGCTACAAATGAATTAGAAAGCTAGAAGTACAACTTCGCGATGTCAGAAATCGTGTTGCACCAAATGGAATAAACAAATAGCGAAAAAAGCACATTATTCATTAATTTGAATTTAAAAGTGAATATCAGTTTGTTAGCTTATTATTTCCAATTGTAATAACAAGGTTACATGAAATTAAAATTGAATTCGCTGTTGAAGTACTCTGACATTTCAACTATTAGTTTTCAAAAACATAATATACATTTAATTTATTATACAATTTCTTTGTGTAGTTCTATGAACCTACATCGATTCTGCGCACAGTGTATTTGTGTGTGATTTTTAGTTACTATTTACATTTTTATAAACATCTGTCATTCCTGTTAATTAGATCATTAATCATTGATAATGATTTCATATCTAACTATGTTGAATTTATGCGTATGATTATGGAGTGTGATGGAAGCAATTCCTCTTTGCCAGCTACATGTTGGAGATAAAATATTGTTTAGGAATGGCCGAGGTCTCCCGATGAACGCCCAGGAATTGACCGAGCACATCCGATCATTGTGCGGTATGGTATGTTATATTTTATATATTCACGGTTACAAACAAATACAATAATTGTGCCCGCATTCAGCAAAAGCTGTTTTTTCAGCGAGGCCGTGATTACATAAAATTAAAACCATCGGTTCGTAATATATTTTCAACACTCGTCATAATTTTATGTTTCAATCTTAAACCACTTAGATGCTGCTTATAATTATCGGCTTGCATGGTGATGTACATATACGGTAGGCTTGTGGTAGCACCACGTGCTCCCGCAAGCCTACTGTATATACTTAAACCACTTGTTCCTTCTATGTGCATATTCTGCTTTTCTTCTTCTTCTTCTTCTTCTTCTTCTTCTTCTTTTTCTTTCTTTCCTTCTTCTTCTCCTACTTCTTCTTCTTCGTCATCGTCATCTCCTTATTTTCTTCCTCTTCCTCTTCTTCTTTTTCTTCTTCCTTTTCTTCTTCTTCTTCTTCTTCTTCTTCTTCTTCTTCTTCTTCTTCCTCTTCTTCTTCTTCTTTTTCTTCTTCTTCTTCTTCTTCTTCTCCTCCTTCTTCTTCTTCTTCCTCTTCTTCTTCTGGCTTTTTTGTGAATAGGTAGCTGATGTAGAGGAACATATATTGAAATTTATTGATTCAAATTTGATGATGACGCAATAATACTAATTCTATAGAAGCAAAACTATTAAAGCTCAAATTGTATTCTAGTTCATAATATGCCAAATGTAAGAGAAAGCCTCTTTAATCGAATAACCACTTATGTGTAAACTTCGTCCTCAATGAAGAAAGAAGAAGAAGAAAAAAACCTAACTTAGCCCTAACCCCATTTCTCGAATAAACCACTTTCTTGTGTCCCCTTTTCCCCTTTTTAAAATAATTTTTAATACAGTAAGCGTTATCATTCTTATTACACAAGACAAATAGTGTGGAAGAACATAATAGAAAAAATGTTTCCTGTAAAGCAATTAGGCTCTTCAAATGCCTTCATATTCTAAATATGGCATGTAACAGCATAACAATCGGGACGGATTTTATGCCACATGTTCGTGTAGTCCCATCAGGCGCGTAGGTAGGTGGGGGGGGGGGGTGGTCGAACCCCCCTCAATTTTTTTTTTGTGTGTTTGGAGGAAACCCCCCTCATTTTCTTTTCTTTTTAATAAGAAAAAAAGTAAATAAAAAAAAATATGTGCTAATGGGTGACCCAAAACAGGTGACCTTACCCCCCCCCCCCCACCAACGGAACGAAACATCTATCGGCCAATTTTTCAAATTTTCGGGACAAAAAAAAGTGCTCTTTTCTGATCGTTTCCACACCCTTTCTTTCACAATGTAAGGGCTTGACCAGAACTCAACCTTTTCTTTAAGGCTCTTCATAAACATTTTTTAATATAAATAATCTACTGCTAATTTCATATATCTTACAAGGATACCTTTATCATTATAATGACATATATGCTTGTATATTTTCTTCCAAATATTTAGATAGTTCTTACTATTGTACGGGGTGTTGTTTGTATTGCAAGAGCGGAAGGATGTGAACTGGTCATCAATATCAAAGGAACCCAGGTATATATCATACTTGAAATTATTGGATGTTATTTCGTACCATTAATGAATAAACATATATTGATAACATAAGTCGATATACAAAATACATAAGCAGGCGTAAATCTATTCATTGGATAAAATGGTATTATGTTTGTATATTCATCTATTTTTGTGATTCTAATATCATTATTTAATACAGCCTCTCTATCAATAAATGTTAATTCATATAGCTGCGTTGAATATCCATGTTATTAATTTGCAGTAATTATATTTTACTTTTCATCCTGATTATAACATGATTATAACCTTATCATGGTTATTGGAAATGAATTCGCTCATAAACGCCTCATTCAAGCTACACTGTTGCCCATTAAGCTGAATTGATGTTTTTATACCTCTTTCCATAAAACGATTATGACAATATGATTAATATTTTATGTCTTCTCAGGACCTTATTGAACAATCTCTATGACAGTTAAGATTAATCAATAAAGCTTCGAGAACATAAAAACTTTGCCTGTCAATAACAAACCATTTCACCGAAAGAGGTAAGAACAGTTATTCCAATTTGATGGGCTATTATGGGCAACAATGTATATTAGTTTTGACAAAATTTGATCATTTTATAGTTAAATTTCTTCAACCTTTTGTTTCCTCCATCGGTCATAGACGGTTAGACTGGACTCAATAGATTTGATTCGCAGAGCCTTTACATCGCCTTGTTATCTTCATTATGCTGAGATGCCAGAGTTATCCAACCTCACCATCACAGAGATTAACAACATCCCCGTGCCCATCGGCTCTCAAGCAAACCAGGTAATTTCAATATCCCGTTAACGGTATTAAATAAACGGAAATAAATTATATTCATTAAAATTGGGCAAACGGGGGAGGGGCGTAGTTTTGAAGATGCCCATAGAAGTTGTGTCGATGCCACATTTATCCTGCCTCATTGTTATTTGAACAAATGTGTTGGCACTCCGCCATCAGAAATAATATTGGTCAGAGATCTAGCAAAAGATTTTTGTTAACAATGAACTTTATAGGGAACTAAGCAAATAAACTTCATCCTTGATTGACTTAATCAACAAACAGATATATTTCACAAACACATTTTTGTCCCGTACACACTAAGAAAAAAAGGTGCGAGTATGCACCTTTAGGGGTGCAAACCGATGCAACACTGGCAGCATCTTTAGGGGTAAATCCTGCACCCTTTTTAAAGGTGCAATCCTGCACCCTTTAAAAGGGTGCCAGATTGGACATATTAGTACCCTTTATGGTTCAATCCTGCACCTTTAGGGGTGCAAACCGATGCAACACTAGCAGCACCTTTATGGGTTCAATCCTGCACCCTTTAAGAGTGTGCCAGATTGCACCTTTTAGGAGACATGTTAGTACCCTTAATGGTTCAATCCTGCTCCAGTACGGGTGCAAACTGATGCAATAGCAGCACATTTAGGGGTTCAATCCTGCACCCTTTAAAAGGTGCAATCTTGCACCCATCATCGAGGAATACTCGTAAAATTTGCACATACACAAATACATATTAAACATGCATGATGTTTCTTGGTTAGTAATCATATAATCAAAATATCTATTTATTGCTAAAACGTGAATGTAATTGTACCATGATCAGACAAATTAATCTATTGGTTAATGATTGCCGAAGGAAAATACAAATCACAAAATTGATGTACATTGTCATAATTTGCTTAACAAATCATGATAAATGTATTTTTATGAGAACACATGGAAAGAAATCATGAATATGCATGTCTAACGCCCCCGCCACGCCGTCTTCTATTATGATGAAATAATAGAATCGAGCTCCGAGTGAAATCAGGTTTTGTATTGGTCCGCTAGCTATATGACTTCCACTCGGGGGTGGGGTTAGTCTCAAATAGACCACTGTATCAGTGTATGATATTATATTATTAAAATATAAAATACAAAGAGACAAATCCATAAATAAAGTGCTTGGACACGATTTAGATTACGATGTCACTTGGCAATTATTTAATTAATATGAATGACAAATCTCATCCATCAAATCAGAATAATAGAAATAATACAACTTATATATATAAATGTTGCAATAAATATAATTGCAAAGTATTCTTAAGAGTTAAAGGGCGACTTATTTCTTACTTAATTAATTACAGCCTAATTGGGAAGGGAAGGGATAGGTTAAGGGAAATGAGGTTAGTAATTATGGCCACTTAGCTCGCTGATATTTCGATCGAGGACTTGACTTGGAAGGGATGCGACTGGGACGAACTTGGACGAGACTTGGAAGAACTTGACTTGGAGGAACTTGACTTGGCGGGAACAAATCTGGACAGGATATGGCAGGAGCGAAGCTGGACTTGACTTGGCGGGACTGGAACTTGACGGGTACGGGAACGAAGTTGGACGTGATTTTGGACTAAATTGGATACAGTTCTTTATAATGGTGAACAGACACTTTCCCAAATGACTGGAGCTGGAGTTGACGTTGAGTTGACTTTAAAATACGGAAGGTGTATTTTAGAATTTGCTCAACCTCTCGAAGTGTCTAAGTTGTCGTTCGACTTCTCTAAAGTCCAAATCTTAAAGTATATCGTATACTGGATATTTGAAGCACTGATGATTATTAAAGATGTATTAAGAGGAGAAGGGTTTCGGGTGAGGAGGTTCCAGGTGGGGGTTTCTAAGTGAGGATTTCATGCAGGGGATGGGGGTTTTATACCTAATTACATATTCACAATCTCGATTCTGAGATCTCCTCCTACAAAATATTCTTACCCTAAACTTAACTATTTCATTATTATTACTGTAGGTGACTGGGCGGGCATAATACTTGATGGACACTCAAACAGTGTTCCTGAACCATTAATCCTAACATTGTGATTGGGCGAAAGTAAAAATAAGAGGAAGGAGTAGAAAATACAAAAGCTCATTGGTCAATTGGGGATATTCCTGCTACCACTTCTTGCGATGACTCAGCTCTTTTACCAAGAAAACAAATGTCTTGTCTTCCAGCCCAAACTTGTATTTGTAGAGTGATAATTTATTTGCCTGTATACCACTATTTGCCTGTTTATAATCAGTCAACACAAACACTGGTTGAATATGGGCTTTGTCTACTACTTATCTATACTAAAAGTTATGACTGAAAGTCTTTCTCTACAAACATCCTATTCTTGGAATCTTTGGACCAGTGGAAAATGACCAGGTATCATCTCACTGTAGTTCGCTGACCTCAAGTAGGAAGAAAGATGATGAAATAGGAGAGGGAAAGAGAAAGAGAGAGAGAGAGAGAGGGTATCGTCTCACTGTAGTTTGCTGACCTCCAGTAGAGAGGATGATGCAATAAAAGAGAGAGAGATGCAATAAAAGAGAGAGAGAGAGAGAGAGAGAGAGAGAGAGAGAGGGGGGGGGGGTGTTTACCTGGTTTAAAGGGAGATATCTCTACTTCGCTACACATGCAATATGCAAACTTTTATTTTGCACCCTTTTTTGGTCGAAAGGGTTCATTTTTGTGGGAAGGGTTCAAAATCTTATATTGCACCCTTTTTTTTAACCCCTTTTCCTTAAATAGGGTTCATTTTTATGTAAAGGGTGCAAACTCTTATTTTGTACCCTTTTTTGCACCCTTTTTTCTTAGAGTGTATAGAAAAGAAAATGCAAAGAAAAACTTGCGGATTTAGAAATGTGAGTTCAGCTTGAAAATTGTCAAATTAACGGACTGTCATTGTTTACTTTCCTTCTTAAATGCATTTAATGTTATTCAATATAATTGGTGTTTGTCATTAGAGGAGGGGCGTGGGGTTATCACATACCCTTTACAAATGCTGTAGGTAATATTTGTAAAGATTTTTGTTCCATAATCTTTGTAAGCAATTGTTTTTACGATTTCTGGACAATGTTAAAAATTAGTCGGGAGATTCTATTTGAATATTGCAGGACGCTGTTTTTGGCCCTCGTCAGTTAATTTTTCAATGTCAAGACATTTGTTGCTTGCTTGTTGGAAAACTTTCGTAAAAGATGTTAGGCCCCATCTCATTCGCAAGGTTTGGCAGCGCCTCATGTGATTTTCTGGTTGATTTATTTTTCTGCAGATTGACAAAATTATGAAGGAAGCCCTGGAGACCTCAAGAGGAATAATAATACTTCGTGCTGTTCCACAATCGTTGCTGGACGATTTGGCCGAATAGGATGATTATATGCAGGAAGAGCAAGCACATGACATCTTGGATGAATAATATTGCACTATTAAAAATTCAATAAGATATTTCTTCGAAAACTAGAAGATCTTCATTCTAATCCCCAAAGATCTCCCCTCTTAAACTTGGAGATCTTTCTTCTACAGGAGATGTCTGTACATCAGGGAACAGCGTTTAAAGGTGAAATTCAGAGAAAATCACAAATATGTCAACTATTGTATCACTAGAAACTGGTAAACTAACAGAGGGCCATCGTACAAGTTATAGGTCAGCTACATATTGGGTTATTTATAAAAATACAAATACAACCACCTCCATAGCAGCTGGGATATACGAGAGACTCGCCGGAAAAATAACGATGTTTTAATGACGTCACTATATGGACCACTACTGGCCAAGCAGACGACATCCCATAAAGAATGAACATCATTGCAAAGCCATTATTTGTCAAATCAAAGAGTATCTCTTTGGTCAAATTATAATGAGTTTAGTGTATATACATGTAATGGCATGTCAAACCATTCAAAAGGGGATATGACCCGATTCTGATAACTAAAATCTTTAGCTTGTAAATACACAGGATAGGGGTTAATTAACAATCAAAGAAACCAGACTTTCAAATTGAAAAAAAAAAAAGCGGAATGATATTAAGGACGGCATTTGTTCCCTTTTGAAACGCCGAACATACCGAGGTGTGTGCAGCTGAATATACAACGGCGTCTTATTTTGTTTACAAGCGACAGATTCTTTTATTTTTGTATCGCTGCATTTGTCTTTAAAATAAAACCATGCGCGGGGTTAAGAGTGAGGCAATAGATTATACATTTAGCCAGACGGTAGTGAAGTACGAGAAAAGAGAAGATAAAACACAGGCACTGAAAATATGTGAGATGTCATGGGGCATCTTCTGCTTGTGCAAATCATGTCCATACTGTGATCTCACGCATCTCAGCTGCGTTCGGAGAGCTCTTCAGGTGCTATGCCGGGGCTGTATTTAGGCGTTTTGTAATTTATAATATTCATTAATTCGAATGTTTCCAAGCATTGAATTTTGATAACCTTGTCGAATCAAAGTTTCAACTTTTCAAAAATGAAAATAAAGTTAGTTTTTAAAATCAATGAATATCTGCTTTAACACTCGTATGCTGGTGTTCTATGGCAAGCTTTTGATGCCATGAAAGCTAAAGTAAAAATAGATTTGTAGAACGCATAGCATACGGAGCAGTGCCCTGTATTCATCAATGTCCGTTTCATCGCTGTGATACTATGCAGCGTGGTTGACTCAGCGCCTCTTCAGAGACATGCTGGATATAATGATTTCCCTTCTGTTTCTACGATCTTGGAGAACAAGCAACCCATCACTCAATATCTTGGAATCGGTTCAAGAGAAATATGAAGGGTTCTCATTTTGGCAATGAACATGGGTTGTTACAATTTTATAGCTTTTGTTTTTGTAGGGTTACATTGTTATTTTAGCGCCCCTATATAAACTTGATGGGGGACATTTTCAAAGGTAAAAACCAGTTATGGTCATGCAACTGCATTGTAAAAGAAACGTTGTGAAATCGATCATAAAAGGTTGATCATCTAGCATAGATGTACTGCAAGGTTCTGGAAGCATCAAAATGATAAGAAATTTGGCCCAGTCTTCATAAAGTTACAGCCCTGTACACAGACAGATGTATATGGGACTAAGCACACGTGCGCGACACGTGCGTTTTTATCTCTCACACACCAATAGATGAAGTAATTTACCAAATATATCAATTAGTAGGCGGGTTCCGGCAAATTTTTTATTATCATGTATTATTCAAAACATATTCTTTCATATGATTGGTAATAAGAGCTTTCATTTCATTTTTTGAAATTGGGGCGTTTCCATTTCTGGTCTTTACCTTTAAGCGCTATGTAATTGCTAAGAAATAATTTGCGAATGGTATTGTTTACAGTCCATTAGGTATCGTATAACCATGTAACTAAATAAGTAGACAAAGGAAAGTTTATGACTTTGTTGAGTAATTGGTGTTATTAATGAATATCAGATGTAATATACATGTTCAATAACACGCTATTGAAGGAAACCAGTGTAATTCACAAGCAGTGGAAAATTAGAAATAAAAAGCATCGAAAAATGAAAAAGAGGAAGTTATATCTTCGATCATGGTTTGACTTTAGTTGTAAAGAAAAATGACCAAAAAAAAAAAAACGACACTGAATAAGAGATTACAAGTTGGGATGGATTGAATAACTCTATAAACACGGTTGGAATTCTTTGGTTATATTGATTTGTTTTAAATGAACGATTAAACATAACACTTTGTCCTATTGAATGAAAAAAAAACTATGTCTCCATTCAGCTGAATAATTCCAATGGACTATATCGTCATATCATATGAATCGCGAATTGTATTGAGTGTTGAAGGCTTTTGTTTTTGTATGTTTATGGTTCGAAACATATATATTGTTAAATATCAGATGTATTGTACATTTTTAGTAATACTCTAGACGGAAACCAGGGTAATTCTAAAATAGAATCTTAGTCTTGATTGGCTAGGGGAGTGAAGGCAAATTTAAAACATAAAACCGGTTGAGAGGTTTTCACGAAAGATCTAAGTACTACTATGTGAGGAAAACTGGGTTTTCAACAAATTGTAAGTGTTTAGGAAATTATTGTGGATTATGTTTTCTCCCATATCCATGCTTAAACTAATACTCAAAGCATTTTAATGTTGTAGGTGTATTAAAAATGTGTGTAAAGAGACAATTCAGTCGGTGTTATCATTGGATTCTTAACATGCAAACAAGCCTGACATCACCCCGTATTTTCTCTATAAAGTACATTATGCATAGAAATGAGGGGGTCTATATTGGCATTTCCTTTTTTGTTTGTTCAAATGTTGTACATACCTAGATGATTAGATGTACCTGGATACCACAAATGCGATAATTTCGTTAATACAAAGATTGTTGAAATATTGAGCTGATTTCACGTGTGTACATAATTTTATCCCAGTTTTACGCTGATCTCATAACCTTATGCGTTAAAGGGTATTATATTATATTCAACGAGGCGTGTTAATCTTTCAACTCATGAAAATATTCGCACTATTGATCTCATAACCATTCATTATTGTAGATATGGCCTACTCTTCTTGTATTATTTACTGTACTACGTCTTCAGGAATAGTAAAGTATATATCATTTATTCATGTAGGTAGAGATGTAAAGATCATATTGAAAGTGAATGAATAATATACTGCATTTTAATACATTTAATGAAAACTTGTAATAACATTAAATGTTTACTTATCAATCATATAAGAACTGCATGAAGAAATACGTGATGAAACCTGTCCTCATAATGTAATTATTTTTCTACCATCACTTTAATAATTTTTTCACGGTTGTGAGTATTCTGTCTGGTGTATTCTTATATTGTTATTACAATAAAGACATATATATTCTTGAATGATTTTCCAAAATTGCCTTCGATAAATGACCATTTTGGTTTTAGCATAATTATAAAAGAAAATGCAAAGAGTTGAGAAATATACAAAAAAGTGCCTCGTTATAGGTAAGAATACCTGGCTAACACGGTGATGAATAAGAAAAAAAGTAATGGGAATAGTGTGTGTGTGTGCGTGTGTGCGTGTGTGTGTTGTGTGTGTGTGAGAGAGAGAGAGAGAGACAGAAAGAGAGAGAGATAGAGAGGGAGGGGAATATAAATAGAAAGAGAGAGAGAGATAGAGAGAGAGAGAGAGAGAGAGAGAGAGAGAGGAGATAGATAAAGAGAGAGAGAGAGAGAGCCATCCGCCCTCTCGTAGACACCTGTAAACATCCTGCCTGGACACAAGTCCACTTGGACTTGACAGGTGTTGAGCAAAGATCCCAGTTAAAGTCCTTCGATATGACATGAAGTAGTGGGACAAATTAGCATATTGATTATTTATTCATAATATGTATATCTGATACCCAACCAGTCAATACCTCTATATCATGGCCAATCTTGTGATCAATCAGGAAAAGAAAAAAAGATAATTGTATGATTAATGGCTGTCACGCTGAAGGAGGAGGGGGGCACCATAGCAGATTGTAATGTTTAATTTGATGTATTATTAATTTATTTTTGAATTCTTTATATATTATTATCATTATTATTATTATTATTATTATTATTATTATTATTTTTTTTTTTTGGGGGGGGGGGGGGGGAAGTGAGAAACTGCGATTACGATGAGCGTTTACGATGAGCGTTTCGAATCGCTCATTCTGCCTTCAAAATTGAGCTTAAACGCACCCTTAGACAGGCCTTGCGTGTATGGTGTATGTAATAGTTATCGCTTTTTAGGGACAATCATTGTCAAAATTCATGATGGAATGCAACACTCTTTATTGAGTTGCCGTCCATTCACGCGTTAACTATTCAACATGGATAATAGTCTTTACTATTTATGTCTCTTGCTTTATTTGAACGGAGAGCTGTTCAAATAAAGAAATGCGAACTATTGAAACAATTTCTGAAACGGCTTTCCAATATTCTGAATAAGGAAATGCTAGAAAATATCAGTCGATGTTCTAGGCACATGAATCGAAGCAGAAATCGTTTGAGAAGACCAAATGATTTAATTGAATTTAAGAATCATATACATGTAAAAGCGAAAATATAGAATAGAATATAGAATACATCAAATATACGTAATACAAAGAAAAATATTATATTTTCTGGACCAAAAAGAGGCAAATTTCTGATAAATTGGGCCCACACATAAAAATCACGCACACACACACGCACGCACAAACGCTCTCTCTCTCTCTCTCTCCCTCACCCCTCTCTCTCTCTCTCTCTCTCTATCTCTCTCTCTCTCCCCCTCTCTCTCTCTCTCTCTATCTCTCTCTCTCTCCCCCTCTCTCTCTCTCTCTCTCTCACGCACACACGCGCGCGCGAGCGCACACATGATAGGCCTACAGGTGACAGAAGGTTAAAAATTCCGTTACACAAAGAGGGTCATAATTCGAAAATGAAACAGAGTTTTATTTATATTTCCGAACCCTATTTTTTTTTGGAATGATATATTTCGCATTTTCGGAGCTTTGAACCCTTTCTTCATTTTCGAAACAATGAACCCCATTCAATATTCTGAATTCATGTCATTAATTGACCATAATGACATGAAATCAGCAAATTTAATGGGGTTCGTTGTTTCGAAAATGAAGAAAGGGTTCATAGCTCTGAAAATGCGAAATATACTTCAAGGCATGGCCGTACAGAGGAATATTTCCTGTTGGGAACCGGAGGAGATGCAATGAATTACTGAAAATTTGTTGCATTTTCTTTTTTTTTTTATTTTTTTTTATTTGTGCGGGCCGCCACCTACGCTAGCTCCACTGTGCACAGCCATGATTCAGTGACAAAGCAGTGGCCTCGTAACTGTGAGGCCCCTGGATCAAAACCGTGTCGATGCGCTATATTAGTGCCCTTTTGTGAGGAATTGACTGCGCACTGGATTATCGGTATTTACGCAATTTATATTATGTCAGGTCATTGAAAAGGTAATCATCTAACATAACAAAACAGAACACATTACAAGACTATTTTTAATAAATTTGTAACCCCCCCCCCCCCCACATTTTTCACCGATTTGGTAATGATTATCTTTGACTTGATGCCCTAGTATGAATGATTGTGACGTGCATGGATGCATTCATAATTTGTTTTTGTTGAAGTCGCACAATTTCGCAACATTACTTCCTCTTCTGATCTCACGCAGTAGCCATAGTCGGGAGTTCTTCTCACTTTTTGTTTGGAAGCCGCTATAACAAAACGATTCCTTTCTCAATATCCTGGATCACGTATCAATTACTTTGCGAATATTTTGGATTTGGGGGAAAATGATGGATGGTGACTTTCTTACATGCGAGGGATCTTGAAAAATTGGAATTAGACCCTTTTCTACTTAGAGTTTCTACTAAATATCAGGTAATCATTGTTTGTTTTCAACCGAGAAAATTGATATAAAAGCTGTACTATTACTCTATGATTCTTTATTATGTGTACTGAAATAGCCTACTATGAGATCATTATTATCATATTAGAGTGTAGATTCTCAAGTCACTTTTGGAAAGATGGAATAGGAATGACAGGTGTTGTAAACATGTTTTATTTTAAACCAGTACGTTTTGAGGAGATCTCATGAGAAAGGCTCAAATTAATTTAAAAGGGCTCTTTTTTAATACAAACTTCCATTTATTTGTACCCTTGGCCATGATACTCCTAAATTCTTTGCTATTCCATCATTATCATTTTTTTAAGTCGGATATCTCCCTCTTACAAATTTACAAGTAACATTAATCCCGTCATGACATTCTCTCCATTTCTTCCCGTTCTGTTCATTATTTCCTCCTCATCATTCAGAGCAACCTTATTTCTATTTCATTTTGTATTTTGTCTTTACCGTATCCTTCCGCAACATCTATTTGCTGGTCTTTTTGAATCACCAGATTTCAGAGAATGCATGCTTTTCACAACGAACATTTTCTCCATGTTTCGGTCCTTGTGCGATCGCCAATAGCTCCAGCATATATGGGGCGCCAGGTTGCACACCGGTACTACCGGGGCGCCACGGCGCAGTATAGTACTGTTGACGGCTGCACTACACTGCGAGCTTCATTTTCCGATGAATAAGCGTACATTTGTTTACAATATGGCGGCTTGGGCCTCAAGACACCATAAAATTCGAGCGAGAAATCCTGCACGCTAAACTAACTTCCAATGTTCCATTTCATTGGTTTAAGGTTTGAAAGTTCAAACACAATATTATGTGAAAGATATAACAGACAAAATAATCTATATTTTATAATTGATGTACTAATGATCATGTCATTATTTGTTCGGGGGAAATAAACATAATTGTTTCAGCTTTATGTCTTTGAAAAAATATTCGTTTGGTTATTAGAGATAAAATGTACAATGTTGATCATAGAGGTGATATATAAATTTTTTTACCCAAGTTTATGGAATGATTTTGCCAATGAATTATTCTTAATAGATTTAGATGATAGTATACATTCTCAGATTTTATTGGAAAATAGTTTGCAAGTATTTGTTTTACGTGACTGCTAAAACATGTGTGTGCTACTTTGCTTAGTAACTAGGGGACCTACGGCTTTAGGTCATAACTGACAGTAATGGGGATTAATGCCTCACACAAGGGCACTAATATAGCACATCGACACGGTTTTGATCCTGGGGCCTCACAGTTACGAGGCCACTGCTTTGCCACTGAATCATGACTGTGCATGCGCAGTGGGGCTAGCGTAGGTGGCAGCCCGCTCAAATGAAGAAAAAATAACACAAAGAAAATGCAACAAATTATCAGTAATTCATTGCATCTCCCCCCCCCCCCCGATCCCCAACAGAAATTTTCCTATGTACGGCCATGCCTTGAACCATAATGACATGAAATCAGCAAATTGAATGGGGTTCGTTGTTTCGAAAATGAAGAAAGGGCTCCGAAAATGCGAAATAGGCCTAGGTCTATATATGATTCCGAGAAAAAATAGGGTTCTGAAAATGAAATAAAACTTTCATTTTTGAATTATGAACCCCTTTGTGTTGAATTTTGAACCCTCTGTCACCTGTAGGCCTATCATGTGTGAGCGCGCGCGCGCACGCATGTGTGTGTGTGTCTGTGTACGTGTGAGAGAGAGAGTGTGTGTGTGGGGGTGTGTGTTTGCGTGTGTGCATGTGTGCGTATGCGTGTTTTTTTTTTATGTGTGGGCCCAATTTATAAGAAATTTGCTTCTTTTTGGTCCAGAAAATATAATATTACTCTTTGTATTACGTATGTTTTATGTATTCTATATTCTATTCTATACTTTTGCTTTTACATGTATATGGTTTTTAAATTCAATTAAATCATTTGGTCTTCTCAAACGATTTCTGCTTCGATTTATGTGCCTAAAACATTGGCTGATATTTTCTCACCATTTCGTAGGTCGGAATATTTGAAAGCTATTGCAGAAATTGTTACAAAGGTTCGCCTTTCCTTATTTGAACAGATCTCCGTTCAAATAAAGCAAGAGACTTTTTTTTTTATCGAAGAACAGAAAAAGAGACTATTATCCATTTTGAGTATTCAACGCGAGAATGGCGGCAACTCAATGAAGAGTGTTACATTCCATCATGAATTTTGACAATGATTGTCCCTGAATAGCGATAACTATGACATACACCATGCACGCAAGGTCTGTCTAATACAATAATGCACCTCCTCTTCCCCTTTAAAGGGCCCATGACATCGAAATACAAGTGTATACCTGTTGCTGTGCAGTCCTGCATACATCTCATATTTTGATACGTAAACTTCTGAATTTGTTTCATAGATTTTTAAAGATTTGTTGAAATAATTGTTTTTCAAACTTGCTATTAAGCTCCACCCCAAAAACCTGCAGATCTCAGATCTGCAGGTTTTTGGGGTGGAGCTTAGCAAGTTTGAATAAACAAATATTTAAAAAAAATAAAAAAATCTATGAAACAAATTCAGAAGTTTACATATCAAAATATAATATATGTATGCAGGACTCCACACCAACAGGAAAACACTTGTATTTCGATGTCATGGGCCCTTTTAGTTGTTTAATTCGTACTCAGATGAGGCAAAACCAGTATTCTTGACGGATACCATAGGTGATCTCATTTCTTCATTTTTGGAGAGCAGAGTGTCGTGTAAATGTGAAACGCTGTGATTTTGGAGGTTAAATTATTGATTAACAATTGCTTTTTAACTTGCGGCTAGATTAACATCCTGTAGCAGACAGTCTAAAAAAAATTAAGCAGGTATTTATATTTGGGTAGTTATGTTTTAGTGTTGTTTTATTAATTTGTTTTTGCTACTTTAAAGCCTATCTACACTAGTTTGGCCAGGGGGATTAGACCTCCCTGCGTGGTCATTGGCAGGTGGTTATCTTATCAAATCACCTCTCAATTGACATAAGGAAAGTAGAACAAGTTGGATCAATGGGCACCGCTTAGGAATTGTTGGCTATATAGAGGGCGCAGGTAGCTACAAGTAGTGCAGGCCCACTTTAATATGGCTATAAACCACTTCCAAGTTTTAGGCCTACTACGTGAATCCGACTAGATAATGGCTTTTACATTATTACAGATTTCATACTATAAACCTACTGCATAGATTTAGTTAACAAATTTCCTATAATATGTGTCTATTATTATGTTCATATTATTTATTTTTTGGTTTTTATTGAATTGTTTTGCTTTGCTTTTGCTTATAAGTCTGTGTTTGATTTTTCACTGACAAACATTGCCAGGCAAAGTGTTCGCGAATTCAAGGCGAAACTCTAAGATGAAGGTGCGCAAAGCTACCGGGGAAGAAGAATCCGATGGTATAAAGGGTCCCATATACAGCTGCGTTCCTTGTCAGATTAAATAAAAAAACATCATTAGAATTGTGGTCGGAATATTGAAATATCTCGCACATGTATATCTGGATAAAAATACAATAAACAATATACTTTACTTAACATGCCTTATTATTTTTCCTCTACTACATTACGATTAATATAAATTATTTATGCTTCGTTACTTGATCTAGATTCCTCATACATGTACACCCTGATTGCTAAATGTCTAAGTCTTATTCGGCGGGTTTTTTTTACCTTGAATGCTGTTGATTTTCAAATTCTAAAAAGTTGTGACAAGAATCATATTAGAATTATTATAAATGCAATCATTCTCAGTAATGGTCTAAACGAGAGGGAAACATGATTATATACGCTTTTGTTTTTATCGTGAAAGCTTTTTATTTTAAAATTCTAAAAAGTTGTGACGAGAAACGTATTGGAATTCTTATGAATGCAATCCTTATGATTAATGTTCTAAAAGAGAGGGAAACATGATTATATACGCTTTTATTTCAAATGTTTTGCCATATATTTGCCAAATAATTAACGAATGAAACGCGGCTATATCTATAAGAACATGGTCACAATTACGTACATAGTTTTATGAATTTCCCGATTATCTTTTTGCCCTAAATCGTTTCCTTCTCTTTTCCTAATTTTGGTTGCTTTTTAACTTCTCTTTGCCATTCATCTTTTCTTCTCCTTTACGTTTTTCCCCTCCTCCTCCTCCTCCTCCTCCTTCTTCTTCTTCTTCTTGTTCTTCTTCGTCTTCTTTCTTTTATTATTTTAATCCTTCTTCTCCTCTTTCTTCTTTCCCTCTTCTGCTTCTGCTTTTTCTTTTCTTTTTTCTATCTCGATCCCTTTTTCTTTCTCTTCTTTTCCCTCCTATTATTAAAAAGAAATAAAATGTATAACAAGAATTTTAAATTCCATCTAAAATCTAGAATGTCGGATGTTGGGGCAAACCAAGCTGAGATACCGATGGCCATCTTAAAAAGCTTCTATTCACACGGAAATGACGACAAGGCTTATTCAAGTGATGACTTCGAAGTAAGCTGCACTATCTTTCTTTCATATTTTCATCGTATTCGTTCTTTCTGAATTTCCATACTTTGATTTATACGATAAGAATTGTCCGTTAGCATACAGTTTGGTGTTAAGAGAACCTAAAAATAAACATTAACTCCATTTCAGAGTCATAACAGACTTAGATTATTTTTCATTCTATAATGTCTAATTTTACATGTATACTAATATCCATAACATCGGATGTGAGTAGCCGTATAAAAAATAAAGAAATATTGCTGTTACAATTTTTCTAATTTCAAACATTCTTCTGGAAGGCTTGCTTTTTTGAGAAATGCACTATTTTCGAGTACTTCTGTATGACAGAGAGGCAATGTGTTTGCAAGAAATGGAGATAATTCATCAACATTTTTTAAGAAAAGAAGATTTACAAGAAAAGTACATTAAAGAAGGCAACACCGTTTGAGAATATGTTTATATAAAAATGAAACAAAAAAATTATATATAGATTACTAGGTTTGGTTACTGCCTCATTAAAACAAATATTTTTCAACTATTGTGTAAAAAAAAAGAGCTTATTCGCGGTATTCCTTTAGATTGACAGCATTTTTGTTTTAAATAACTTTAATTTTTTTTTAATTTTATAGAGATATAAACGTAAAAATTATTGTAGTGAGTTACAAGGAGGTCGACTCAACTTCTACGAGAGTGGTGAACCTAATTACAATACGACTACCGCTGTGGTGAAGGTCGAGAAGAGAAGAGGAACTAACATACTCATTCTAAGATGTGGACCCGAAGGTCGTATGGTTATATTCTTGGAATTTGACTCCAAGTAAGAATCTCAGAGTATATAGCATTAACTTTCTTCTTCTTCTCCCACCCCTTTATTCTTCTCCTTTTCTTATCCTTCTTCTTCTTCTTCTTCTTCTGATCTTCTTCTGATCTTCTTCTTTTCTTCATTATCTTCCTTTTTCTTCTCCTTCTTCTTCTTCTCTTTTTCTTCTTCTTCTTTATCATCATCTTCTTCTTCTTCTTCATCTTTCCTTCCCCCTCGTTCGTTAGAGCAAAAGGATCTCCGCCAAATGAACTGGAGACAATTGTTCCAAAGATAAAGGGTTAGACTAGAGAGGATTTTGGGTTAGATTGTTTGTACAGGGTTACCTTTTAGACTTCAGTTAGCGTAGAAATTAACTCTGAGCTAAGTGCAGCGATATACATGTATACATTAAACGTTCGTATGTAAAGCTCTTTGAGAACCCATTCTAATTTGAATTTCGCTAGATGAAAGCATTGTTTTTATTTGTATTATTAAATCACACACAAATATCATAATATATAAACGTAACTTGATAAGCCAAGGGAGTATGTTGATTTTATGTGCAATCTTCCATTGTAGGCAATTAACGGACGAATGGCAGGAGGCACTCTGTCGATATACTGGCCAAACACATGTTCCTAACCCTGCCTTACGGAGAGTAAATTCTGAGCGACCAGCAGTAGCGAGAAGGAGGAACAGGAGCCGGGCAAGAAGTCGAACAACCCTTCCTGATATCATCGTTGAACAGGTGAGTGGAAGCAGGGTGGGGCCAGGATTTGACAAGCAAAAGAGAAATGAATGGTTATCAGATTTTATATTTTCCTTATGGGTTAAAAATTTGAAAGGGGTGGAAGTTTTTCTTTGAGTACTTAAAGATATTCTTTCTAATGAAATAGGGGCACGATGCGGGACAGTATTGACCCCAAACCACCAGCGATGAATATTAAAATAATTACGTTTGCCCAATGAGCTAGTCTTCTGACTCACAGTTCGTTTCATAATAATGAAGTGAAGACCTACTTTTCAGCGCATCTGATTTCAATGTTCACTAGATTTTCTTTCTATTCTGCTGTTCAAAACAATATGACAATCGATAACAATTCATAACTAATTTAAGTCAATTTCTCTGGAGATACATTTTTTAAGTACTTAAGACTAGATTTTTTTTTTAATGTGTCCCCTTTGAAGCAGGTTGATTCAGATCCCCAAGAAGCTCCTCTTGAAGCTCCTCAAGAAGCACCTCCAGCTCCTCTAGTAGCTCACTCGGAAACTCCCCAAGAAGCTCCTCTTGAGGCTTCTCAAGAAGCACCTCCAGCTCCTCTAGTAGCTCCCTCAGAAACTCCACATGAAGTTCCTCAAGAAGCACCTCCAGCTCCTCTAGTAGCTCACTCGGAAACTTCCCAAGAAGCTCCCCTTGAAGCTCTCCAAGAAGCTCCTCTTGAAGTTCCTCAAGAAGCACCTCCAGCTCCTCTGGTAGCTCCCTCGGGAACTCCCCAGGATGCTCCTCCTGAAGCTCCCCAAGAATCTCTCCAAGAAGCTCCTCTTGAAGTTCCTCAAGAAGCACCTTCAGCTCCTCTGATAGCTCCCTCCGAAACTCCCCAAGAAGCTCCTCTTGAAGCTCCTCCAGCTCCTCCGCTAGATTCCCAGGAAGGCCTCTCAGCTCCCCCTTCTCCACCGGGTTCACCCACCGAAGATCGGGTCATAAGCTTGACCAGTGACACGAGTGATACAGATTCCGGCCCTGACAGCTTGCGATCACGTGATGCTGATCTCAGGTTTGTAATTCTCATCATTATTCATATCATATGAAGTTTAGTGGTCATGCACATTTCGTATTAAATCAATCACTTTCTGGCACTGTTTCCGATAAATGCACAAAATAACAGTTCAACTCCATTTGATATGAAAACACGAGTAGTGTATGTGTATGTAGTACATAAATTTATAATTTTATTTATTATACATTTGCATTTTATGCAGGTACAATGCAGCGTTTAAAATATAGTGCAGTATTAAAGATCAAATATATTTATCTTTAGAAAACTAACAATATGTAGTTATCTATAGTGCAGTATCTATATAAATGCATAATACACAGGTCATATTGGTTCTTGTTTTATAATCTTGTAACAGATTGTGAAGGCCTATATTTAACTCGCTTACATCTTTTTGTTACCTCTCTTTCCTTCTCTTCGTTGTCCTCTGTGTATTCCTCACCCTTATAATACTGTCCTTCATCTTTATCATTGTTTATTGCATTTATCTATTCTCTCTCTCTCTCTCTCTCTCATCAGTCCAACGCTTACAGACTTGGCCAATAACTCGGAAGAGAAAGAGTTCAACCTTTCAGATCTGGAACAACTCAAAGTCAAGGACTATAAAGGCCATGTTATGTAAGTAAGACCCCTTTCATATGGGAATGACCCCCTATCAATACACGTTGTGGTTCTAGTTGTTATTGTGGTTGTTATTGGTGTTATTGGGGTTTGGTTTTTGTTTTATTTATATTATCAGCAGTAGGAGTAGCAGCAGCAGCCATAGTAGTAGTAGTAGTAGTAATAGTAGTTGTAGTAGTAGTAAATGATTTTGTTGTTATTGTTAATATTGTTGCAGTATTATCATCATCATAATAATACTAGTCATACGTATTACTCTTATCAAGACGAGGTTGAGTAACATTAAAAGTGAATATCAGTTTGTAACCTTATAATTCCCAATGGTTAATAACAATGTTACATGAAATTACACTTGAAATTGCTCTTGAAGTACTCTCACATTTGAAATATTATTTTTCAAAAACATTATATACATTTAATTCGTTATACAACTTATTTGTGCAGTTCTCTGAACCTACATTTAGCGAACAGTGTTTTCGTGCGTGATTTTCAGTAAATTTTATTCAATTTGTAATAAACATTTGTTATATTTATATTAAAAAAATAAAATAAAATCTCGTAATAATCTGTCATTCCTCTTAACTAGATCATTCACCATTGATAATAATGTCTTAACCAACTATGTAAGTTATTTGTTATGTTCATCGAAACGACCTTTTAAGAGAAAAAAAATATTTATAACCTCCATCGTCAAAAACTATCAGCTCCGGAATGCGTGACTTCTATCGAATGCCCAAGCAAATCCGGACATTTCTAAAATGTTAACCACCTTTACAGATATTGTACTTTCATTTTATTTTGATCATTCTAAAAAAATAACCGGGTTGATAAACAGTCTAATAGTAATACGGTCATCTTTTGGAATAGACCCACATTTCAGTTAATTAATTTTCTCTCCATTACCCCTACTTTTTAACTATATAATTCCGTATATATTATGGTTCCTCTATACCGTGCGCCCCCCAAACCATATAAAAACCTTCACCCCACATTTCAGTACCATTTAGCTGAAGAATAAGTAGCCGACATCTTGGACATTCCTTTTTACAACAAACGATATTTGAATATTCAATTTACATAATCCCTACCTGGGTATTAAGTAAATCAATGAGATGTTCAACTAATCTTACAATAATTGAAATGGGGGGTGAAGGATTTTATTCAAAGTCACAGATGTAAAAAATAACAGTTTGGTAACATGGAAATTACAACATGTACCATCACCCCGTCCTGACTTCCATAAACACACCACTGAGTCTACCAGGGAAAGTTACAATGCTACAATAAAAAATGCAATTCCTGTTCACTCATGCATAAAGGTTTGATTTAATAAACCATGAAATTCTCTCAGCAAATCATGAATGTATCATATCATCCTCAATTCCGTAAGCTCCAAAGGACTTACCTCTCACAAATTGGAAGGCTAATTCTTGCGCAACCTAATTTTCATATACACTGCAAAAACCAGGGTGTTAAATTTCTAACACTAGTATGGTTTTGAATTTTTTTTGTGCTCGGTGTTGAAAGTATCATCACGTGATTTCGTTTAAGGTGGTTGATTGGTCTAATAAGTTTTCACAAAGTGTACGCGCGCTTAATGATTACTTTACACGTGTTCACAGAAGAATATATTTACCATGATTTGTTAAGCAAATTATGACAATGCACATAAATTTTGTGATTTGTATTTTCCTTTGGCAATTATTGACCAATAGATTATTTATCCGATCTTGTTACAATTACATTAACGTTTTATCAATATATATTGATTATAAGATTACTAACCAAGAAACAACATGCATATTTATTATATATTCGTATACCAGCCTGTATCATGAGATTACTTCAAAATGATCTATGTGATGGAGTTAATGCAATGGAGATTAGAATATACCCATTGGTGGACAGTTGCCAACATCGATTATGAATTATCAGTTTACCACTGGTTATTCTACCCTGGTCGATAATGGTCGATAATAGGAAATATGGAATATGGGACCATTGGATCAACAAGAATATAAACACCAAAAGTGGAATTGAATTTTTTATGATTCCAGATATTGTTGTTAATCTACACCAGCAGCAGTTGTCAAATATTACCACCAAGAGTGGAATTGAATTTGTTATGATTCCAGATATTGGTGTTAATCTACACCAGTAGGAGTTGTCAAATATTAACACCAAAAGTGGAATTAAAATTATCTAATTCCAGAAAATGGTGTTAAGTATACACCAGAGGAGTTGTCCGATATAGATACCAAGAAAGTGTTAAATTGAACACCCTTGGTGTTAATTTTAACACTCTGGTTTTTGCAGTGTACCCTTTACAAAAGTGAGCAGTGCTCACCCAAGCATGAATTATTTCCGGACTTTTTGGTGTCATATGAAAGTTGAGTTTATGAGCTTTCCATATACAACTTTTACCCCAGAATCTTTTTTTTTTTATTCGGCAGCCATTTCAAAAGTGTATAGTTTCTTTGGGGGACGCACGGTAGATGTAATTGTATGAACAGTCTATGTTTGACAAGCCTCTGGCAACTTTTGTTTATGAAGTATGTATAAAATAGATATTATCTGTAATCATTGAAATTCTTTTGCAATTAGAACAGTGTTTTGCATATCTAATTAGGTTTTACACCTTCTTTTATTAAATTTATGCTTATGATTATAAAGTGTGGCGAAAGCAATTCCTCCGTGCCAGCTACATCTTGGAGACAAAATAGGGTTGAGGAATGACCAAGGTCGCCCTATGAACGCCCGAGAAATGACCAAGCTCATCCAAACATCGCCCGAACAGACGGTTCGTAATATATTGTCAACATTCGTCATGATTTTATGTTTAAATCTTAAACCACTTGTTCCTTCTATGTGCACGTTCTCATCCTACCTCTTGTTCTTCTTATACTTCTTCTGTATCTTTTTCATCTTCTTCTTCTTCTTCTTCCTCTTCCTCTTCTTCTTCTTCTTCTTCTTCTTCTTCAATTGCTAGATGTAAAGAGAAAGCGTCATTTCTTGAATAAACCCCTTTCTGTTATCCTTCGTCCCAAATAAGAAAAACAAATCGAAATGTTATTGCGTTTGTCGATGACTTTATGCTCTTCCTAGACGAATACATTCTAGTCATTTACTTGCCAATTTCATGTTTCTTACAAGGATACCAATATCAATATAATGACATATAGACCTGTTTATTTCCTTCTCTAATATTTAGAAAGTTTTTACCATTGTACGGGGCGCTGTATGCATTGTGAGAGAGGAAGAAAGTGAACTGGCCATCAATATCAAAAGATCCCAGGTATATCACACTTAAAATTATTGGATGTTACTTCGTACCGTGAATGAATAAACATAAGTTGATAAGTCAATATACAGAATACATAAACAGGCGTAAATCCGTTCATTGCCATAATATGGTATTATGGTGATTCCAAAATTATTGAATTACCACAGCCTCTCTTTGAATAAATGTGTCCTTTATTTAATTTATTTAGCTGCGTACAATATATATATATATATAACACTCATGAATTTGTAGCAATTATGTAACTTTTTATTCGTGATCGTCTTTTTCTATTCACTACTGAGAAGATAACTATTTAAGAAAGTCACGAATACATATAACCTTATCATGCTTAGTAGAAATGAATTTGCTTGTAAACGCGTCATTCAAGGTACACTGTAGCCCATTAAGCTGGAATATTTTTTTTATTTTTTTTTACCTCTTTCCATGAAATGATTGTAACAATATGATCAATATTTTATGTCTTCTCGGGACTTTATTGATCAATATCTGTGACTCTTTAGATTGAGCAATAAAGTTTCGAACAGATATAAACGTTGTCTGTCAAAAATATACCATTTCATTAAAAGAGGTACGAAAATGTTTCCAATTTGATGGGCTATCAAAGGCAACAATGTATATCAGTTTTGGTCAAATTTGATACTTTTATGATGACATTTATTCAACCTTTTGCTTCTTCCACCGGTTACAGAAGGATAGACTGGACACAGTAGATCTGATTCTCAGAGCCCTCACATCGCAATGTTCTCTCCCGTATTCTGAGATGCCAGAGAGATCCAACTTCACCATCACAGCGATTAACAACATCCCCGTGGACATCGGCTCTCAACCAGACCAGGTAATTTCAATATTTTCATAAGATGTTCGTTGTACTTGTTCACTATTCAATCATAAATCAGACTACTTTAACAACAAAACAATAACATTAATACCCATAAATCCGAAAAAAGAAAATGACCAACATCCCCACAAAAATCACCCGATACAACAGAATTTTATCCAAATATCCTGCGCGCGGGGGGAGGGGGGGGGGGAATCATTCGCTTATATGGTTAAAGGTAGACCGAAGTTTGTTTTGCCGTTGTTTTTTGTTTGTTTGCTTGCAATTTTTTCAATTTTTTTAAAAATAGTACTTTTATTTTCTAAATTCTGTTAACGGTATTAAATAGACAAATAAATAATATTCATAAAAAATAGTTTGATAAACGGTGGGCGTAATTTTGAAAATGCTTATAAAAGTGTTTTTGATGCCAAATATATCCTGCCTCGTCGTTATTTAAACAAAATATGTTTTGGCACTACACCATCAGAAATAAAATTTCATAAAGAACTAGCGAAAATAGCATATAAAAAAGACATTTAAAGGGAAATAAGCAGGCAAATTTCACCCTTCATTGACTTGTAAGTGAATCAACAGACAAAAATATCTCACAAACATATTCTTCGTCCCTGTTTTCCAAAAATGTAAAGTAAAACTTGCAGATTGATAAATGTGTGCTCTTGAGGACACCTTGACAATTTTTAGATTAATGGACTGTCAGTATTAACTTTCTTTCTTAAATGTGTTTCTTTAATTTGATTTTAATTGTGTTTGTCACTAGGGGAGGGGGTGGGGTTATCACGCACCCTATACAAATGCTGTAGGCCTATTTGTAAAAGAATATTTTTCATAATTTTTGTAATCAATTTATTGATATGTGGACAATCTTAAATTTGAAGGCAGCTGCTAAATAATTTCGCAACGTATAGACTTTATTGTTTGCTCAATGGAAAAATTTCAAAAAAGATGTCAGTAAATTGAGCCCCAATCTCATTTTTGGCAGCACCTTATTTTATTTGATGGTTGATTTCTTTGTCTGCAGATTGCAGAGAATATGAGAGAAGCCCTGAGGACATCCATACATCAAGAAACATCAAAGTATCTATTGCTTCATTTTGTTCCACAAGCGTTGCTGGACGCTTTGGCCAAAGAGTACGATGATACGATGATGTAAAATAAATTCTGTGGCAATGATTGTTATTCGTTTCATACAGAGCAATGCCCTGTATAAATCAATGCCCGTTTCATTGCTGTGAAACTATTCAGTGTGGGTGATTCATGGCCTCTCCGAAAAACCTGCTCGAGATCCATTCTGTTCCTGCAACTTCCTAGAACAAGCAACCTATAACACAACATCTTTGAAACATTTCAAGAAAAATATGAAGGGTTCTCATTTTGTCAGTGAACATGGATTATTACATATTTTTCTAATCGGCTTTCATTTGTGCAGGGTTATATAATTGTTTGGGGCTCCCCCATACTTGATGGAAGACATTTTGAAACGCTTTGTAATTGTAAAGATATAATTTCCGAATGGTATTGTTTAGATTCCATTAGGTACCTTGTAACCATGTTGAACCCAGCATATTTATAACGGGATTGGAAACAGACAGCAAAACATAAACTTAGAGAACATGGAACCCATGCACGAACTGCCAAATAAATAAAAAAGTGAAATCTTCTTACCTTTTGAGTAAGAAATCAGGCTAATTCACAAGCATTGGAAAATAAGAAATAAAAAGCATCGAAAAGTGAAAAAGAGGAAGTCATATCTCCGTTCATGGGTTGCCATTAGAATGCTGATTTGTAAAGAAAAAAAATGACCCACAAAGATAATTATGGAGTCTGAAAATTAGGGATGGATAGGATGACTTTATGAACACGGTTGGAATTTTTTGGTTGAATCGATTTAAACAATAAATAAATAAACAAACAAAATATGTTGTCTTATTGTATGAAAAAATCACTATACGTCTTCATTATCTGAATGATTCCAATGTACTATGTTGTTTTACTATATGAATCACGAATTGTATTGAGTGCTGCAGGCTTTTGTTACAGTATGTTTATACGTATTGTTAAATATCAGAAGTAATGTACAGTATTACATACTCTAGACGGAAACCAGGGTAATTCGCAAGCAGTGGAAAATAAGAAATAAAAGTTATTGAACAGTAAAAAAAGCGAAAGTTACAATCATTTTCAAAAGAGGAAATTAGTCGATTGGCTTACTGAAAATCAGCCAATCATTGGCTAGAGGAATGAATGCCAATTGAATACATTAAGCCATTTGAGATTTTTTTTTAGCGAAAATTCAAAGGAGTACTATGTGAGAAAAACAGGGTTTTCAACAAAATTATAAGTGTTTAGGAAATTGTTGGGAACTTTTTTCCTCTCATATTCATGGTAAAGCTAATACTTGAAGTAAGTCTCTATCTTTTTTATGCTGTAAGGTTTTCTTAATAAATGTATTTGAACAGGGTGTGTCGAGACTACATGTATATATATATATATATATATATATATATATATATCTAAAAATGTATTCAAAACTGGTGTGAGGAATTTATTTAGTATGTGTTATATATCTCAGATGTTTTCATACAATACTTTATATTTCGTATAAATAGTTGCAGGAAATGGCAGTTTTTATTGTTTAATAGATGTATTCACAGAGGTTGCGAGGATACTATTCAGTCGGTGTTATGTATCTAAAAAAGAAATTCTATACTTTTATAGATAGTCGCAAGAATTGAAAGGTTTTTTACAAATACAACGGTACAAAAGCCCTTATATTTACTCAAAAGATTATTCAGATCATGTTTTTAAAATTATATGGAGATACTGGTGTAAATAATCATTTTCTATTGATATGATAAGAATATTATGTCTATAAAGCTGTAGTAGACATTTTATATCTCATTCTGCCGAAGCTTCCTGTATTTCATTTTACTATCTGTCTGTCCAACTTCACGATCATGAGAAAACCACTTTAACGGTTGCTTAATTTTTATACTTTTCATCTCCTTCTTTCAGTATTATCATTGGATTCTAAACATGCAAACAAGCCTGACATTACCACACATTTTCTCTATAAAGTAGATTATGTATATATTATGAGGGGTCTATATTGGAGTGACGATTCTTTTTGATATATTGGCATTTTCCGTTTTTAGTTCAAACGTTTTACATTACTTAGATGAACATGTACCTGAATACCAATGATGCGATCATTTTGTTGATACAAAAATTGTTGAAATATGGAGCTGATTTCAGGTGTATACATACTTTTAAATCTAGTTTTACACAGATGTCATAACAATATGAGTTAAAGGGTACTATTCTTGTATTATTTACTGTACTTCTTCTTCAGGAATAGTAAAGTCTATATCATTTATACATGTACGCAGAGGTGTAAAGATCATATTGAAAGGAAATGAATGATATACTGCCTACCAATCTATGAAAAGAAAACTTGATCTAACATTAAATGTCTACTTATAATTCATATAAGAACTTCATGGAGGATTACGTGATAAAACCTATCCTCATACTGTAACAATTTGCATACCGTCACTCTAAAACCCATTTCATGGTTGTGAGTATTCTGTCTGGTATATTCTTATCTTGTAATTACAATAAAAGCGTATATATTCTTGAATAATTTTCCCAAATTGCCTTTAAAAAATTATTATTTTAGTGTTAGCATAATTATGTAAGAATGTTGATGGTAAAGTGCACAGAGCTGAGAAATATACATGTGCCTCGTCAGAAGAAGTTAAGAATAACTGGCTAACACCGTGATGATTAAGAAAAGAGTAGTGTGTTTGTGCGTGTGTGCGTGTGTGCGTGTATGTGTGTGAATGTGTGTGTGTGTGTGTATGGGAGAGAGAGAGAGAAAGAGAGGGGAATAGAGAGAGAGAGAGAAAGAGAGAGAGAGAAAGAGAAAGAGAGAAAGAGGGAAAGAGAGAGGGGGAAGAGAGAGAGAGAGAGAGAGACAGACAGACACATAGGAAGAAAGAGAGAAAGAAAGAACGGGAGAAAGAAAAGAAAGAAAGAAGAAAAGGAGAAAGAAAAGAAAGAAAGAAAAAAAGGAGAAAGAGGAGGATGAAGTCGCCTAAAATAACAACAGTAGCACAACAATGCAAATAAAACTCCTTTTGTATTTACATATCTCTTGATGTATTATGGCTTTCTTATTCTCAAAATAATTATTTAAAAAAAAAGGAATTTTATAAAGGAAATTCTAAAATAAGATTAGACGGGGGCGAGGGATGGAGACATCCCACTTCAACAAACAAAATACATACATTATACATACATACAAACAACGTTTTTTGTTTGTTCATCTATATCCAGGGTAATATTTTTTGTGAACAAATGGTTTCAAATTTCCAAAGTTCAATCACCTCTAGCGATGAGGTATGATACTGATTACTTAATCAAGGTCTGGTACATCCTCGATATGATGTCTGATTGAAAACGATTCCTTATGAAACACACAATTACTATTTTTGGACCATGGCTTCAATTCATTGGACTCAGAAAATCAGTGGTGTGCGTAAATATGTTATCCTCATAAGGCCACATTTTATCTACTTTATCTTCTTTATAATCGAACAATTTAAGTTGTTTAAAGCATAAGGGAAGTATATATATATATATATATATATGTGGATATGGAAAATGCGGATGCCAATAAATTAATATGTTTGCTTTTCCTACACCATCCGCCCTCTCGTAGATACCTGTAAACATCCTGCGTGGACACAAGTCCACTTGGACTTGACATGTGTTGTGCAAAGATCCCAGGTAAAGTCCTTCGATATGACATGAAGTATTGGGGGAAAATTAGCATATTGATTATTTATTCATACCCAACCAACTAATACCTCTATAATTATCATGGCCAATCTTGTGATTGATCAGGAAAAGACAATAATTGTATAATACTATTAATTAATGATTGTCACACTGAAAGAGGAGGGGGGGGGTACTTTAGCGGGTTGTAATGTTGATTTTTGTTTAAGGGAGGGGGGGGGGGGGGAGGAATTGGTGTGTACTAAATATTTGTTCAAAAGGCCAAGCATCGGTATTTACGCCATTCAGTTTATTTCAGATCATGGAAATAAAAATTCTGACGTAAAAGGTTGTCATCTAACATAATAAACTATATACAACGCATATCTAAGGAAACAAAACACATCACTTGAAGAAGAAAAAAAAATCGATTAAAGATATAATATTAATGAAAGAAAGGAAAAACAAGCATAAACAACAAGAGCGATAAAAATGAGCATTTCATACGAAATTTTTCTGGTTTTTCCCTCTGCGTTTTATATCTGCGACTCTTCCCCCTTTACAAATGGGCAGAGATTCCCCTTAGTATTTCAACAACAAAAACAAAAAAAATTAAAAATTGCCAACAAAAGAAAAACAAATATTCTATTTTTAAACAAAAACCTGTAACCCCATTGCACACTTCTTCGAGAATAGATTTTTTCTCCCCCCTAATCCGTCAAGTCAAGAGAACATTATTTTGATAAATATTTGGGAATTCCCTCACTTTTTAACCCATTTCGCAATGATTTTCTTTGATCCTACAATGAATACAATTTAAATGCATGAATGGTATCATAATTGTTTGTCTAAGTCGCACCATTTCGCATTACTTCCTCTTTTGACTTCACGCAGTAGCCATAGTCAGGAGTTTTTCTTACCACTTGTTTGGCAGCCAATTTAACGATACGATTCGTTCCTCAATCCTCCCCTTTCTCTCACATGGTGCATCCGCAAGCCTACTGTATATCATGGATCAGGTATCAATTTTGCGAATATTTTGATTTTTTGGGGGAAATAATGAGATGGTGATTTTCTTTCTTCGATTGTACATGCCAGGAATTTTGAAAATTGGAATAAGACCATTGTAATCATGGTTTGTTTCCAACCGAGAAAATTTCTATAAAAGTTGTATTTACTCTATGAATTTTTATTACGTGTACTTTCGTACTAGAATAGCCTACTATAGAAGATCATTATAATAATATTTCAGTGTTTTAGAGCGCGTAGCACTGCCGTAAAGTCTCAATACGCTTTGGGAAAGATGGAATAGGAATGACAGGTGCTATAAAATGTTTTTAAACCAGTACGTTTTAAGGAGAGCTTATGAGATTTAATTATTGTACTAATGAGATTGATCATAAGCATGTCATTAAAATTAATTGTTCGTCGGAAATAAACATAATTATTTTAGCTTTTAAAAAAATAAAATATTGTTTGGTTATTAGAGATAAAATCTTTGTGACATATTTTGAGAAATGGTAAGTGTATGTAATCACATTCCGCCCCTCGTGCAAACTCTGTACATGTTGTGCTGCTGTATTTGTTGTAACCTTATTAAAAAAAATTAAAACAAATTTCCATTTCTGAAATATAATAGTACTAAAAAATGCTTATACAACTAGGAGAAGCAAACAATGGAAGATGGTTGCTGTAAAGTAGTCCTTCGCATGATGCAAATAGATTATTGTGTGCTGATTTTGCTCTCCTGTAATTATACACTGGAGCAAATTCGTACAATATAATTTTTAAAAATATTTATTGATGATGTTACATTTAGAAGTAAAACAATAATGGCGGAGCGCCAAATGTGTCAAGTCTGACAAACATGAGCGCTATCATTATTTAGACAGTATGCGGGAGAGAATGTTAATCTACTGGGAGGGATGTGGAATACGTCACGCCAATGTACAAAATTTACAAACTGTATTTCAATCTGGTCATTATTTAAAAAAAGTTTCGTTTGGCCCGGGGAGTTGATTGTACTTGTACTTGCATTTTCCAAAAGAGCATCAAACATAATGTCCGAATGTCGAAAACCAACTGAATATGTTAAGTATTGGCTGAGATATGACCATCTAAATAAAAAGATGTCCCATCGGAACTCACTGTTATATTGCTCTGGCTCGTAATGTTATGAACCAGATCAATATAACGCTGAGTTTATTTAGGATATCTAT